ACGGAATCCGGGAGTCGTTCAAACAACCTCTCGGTACGTAATAGAACGACGAGAAACTCGGGGTTGAGGATCTTCTCGAAACGTTGTTTTGCGTTCCTAGAGCCCGCTCCCGGGCCCGGTCCCCTTCGACTTGAATGTTCAAACAATTCATTTGGGAGGACCATACCGAGGTACACCGACTGATATCTTGCGGAGAACGATTTTCAGAAAGGGGAAACAGAGAAAGGGGGTCAAAAATAGTTGCCGGAGCTGGAGAGGGGCACTATGTATTTGAAAGATCGCCTAGATTCTCTCGAGTATTTTCCATATTAACACTTTATTCGGCGGCTACTGGAATCCAACCACATCAATTATCGCGTTACCAGCAAGAGCCCTCCCCGTCCACTTCCCACCCTACCTCTCTCGACCTGCTCTGCTTGCCTGCTCGTGCTGTTCTGTAGCATCGTATCGCCAATTGGTTATGGCATGAAGGTCCTCGTAAAGGGGCCATTCCCAAAGACTGAACCCCCAAGAAAGGCTTCAACGAATTCCAGCAAAAGCCAACGTTGATCCTTGAGTCTGGCTCCAAACTCGAGAAATTTATGGGCTTGATTACCACCGACTGCCGACGCGAAAAGCCCCAGCTCTTCCTGTACCTACCTGTTCCATTAACGATGCTAGTCTGGAATGGCACTCGGGTAGAGAGTGGGGAGGAAAAGAGAGGTCGTGGCCAATCTGAGGGCTGGATTGGCAGCCAAACTAAAAGTTCTCGAGAATATTACGCGATGCTCAAGCTTAGCATACATTCCACACACCCTCCACTCGGTATCAACAGCTCCAGGAAGAAATTGTTTTCGGTAATAAATTGTACTTTTGTATAACAGTAGAAGGGGATGAGGCGAACAATCGCACACTATCAGGGTGAATCCAAGCCATGGTTTCCCAGAATAGGCTCAAAATCTTGGAGACACAAAAAAACTTGGACCCCCTCCCTCCTTTGTTGGAACTTATCCGAAGAGTGCTCTGAAGGAGGGAGGGGGCTGGGATTGGACAGAAAAGCGCCGAAAACCGACCCTGGCTCATTTTTCTCTCGTCTGTCGGGGTGTCTCTTCTGTTTCTTCTTCTCGGGCGGCGAGGTTGAACGACCAAGACCTATCAGCACTAAGTCATGTGGAGCAGCCGATGGATGGAGAATAACAGCCGCCGCTATTTTATCACTTGGCCTGGCCCCGTCAATTTTTGGGGTTTGACAGTTCTCCAGTGTATCACTTTTGCCCTTCAGCATGGAAGAAGGCGACGAAGAGTTATTGATTCTCTTGCTTCCCGTACCGTGTAATGGACTGCCCAGGCTTAGTTTGAGATCCTGGTTTCTCTTTAGATAATCTGATTCGCTTGAGCATCTGAGACCTTGGAAAATAAGGGTGAGAAGGGAAGGGAAAAAGAAAGAAAACTCCTTCTCTGACTGACTCCAACGTCGCTCCCGCCCTTCTCCGAAATGCGGATATCTTTTCTCGCCGGGCCTGAGGCGGTAAAGGGGCTGGGATGAGAAGCCAACCCGGCCAATTTTCCCATGTCGAAAGGGCTCCGGAGGACCAGCAGAGGCAAGGAAACGACGAAATCCAAGACCCTCTTCGAGTTGCGAATCGCCCCTCCACGATCGAAAGCCATGGATGTACATGCCTCGCAAAGCTAGTGGTCGAAGAAGTCACCACCATCCCTTGTTGAAGTTGGAAGGTCGAAGAGAGATATGAATCCAGATGTACTATCCCTTATCAACAGTCGATCGTTTTGTGCACAACTAACTCCACAACCTCTGTACTTTTTCTTTTATTTTTTATTTTCTTTCTTGTCACAGGCGCAAGTGCCATCTCTACCTGTACTATGACAAGCATTGCCACTGGTCAATAATTCAATATTTAATACATCAAATCTAATGTTGTTTGCCCCATTGCCCCTTCCTGTCCGAGGAACCGTCCAGGACGAGGCCGAGGCCTGCGATTGGGGCGGTGAGCAAGTCATTCAAATGCTTTTTCTTTCTCCGGCAATGATTCAGTCATCCATGAGTAGCGAAGGCTCATTGACCGACTCCTGATCCCTGAGGGCCGACTTCAATCCGATTGTGGTTCCGTCAGCTTCAACTTGAAAGTGCGTGGTACAAGCAAAGGCAGGCATAACAAGGGTAGTTCAAACTTTTTTCTCTCTCCTTTTCTCTCTCGGAGTCGTGATGCGAACCTTTTCAATACCTCCAGTCTCCTCTTCTTCGTGACATGGGCGGTATCAATCACACTGTACGTGGCGGCCAGCGATTTGTATAGGATCGTGAAGGAATTTGGTTGGTCGTACAAGCCATGAGAAAGGAGCTATCCCAGCTTGGCCCAGATGGACCAGGAGGGACCCATTTCTCCTTTGAAAATGTAGAAATACTTTGCCGAGTTGGGCCTTGTCAACCCTGCACGGGTACCACGACATTGCCATCACTGGATCCAGGTGGAGGCGAGGACGCCTTTCTCCCTCCCCCATCTTCTTCGGCCACCACCCCTGCAAAAGCGCTGGATGCCCCCTCCTCCCCGCTGCAACGCTGTTATTTCCACGCCCTGCTGGCGTTATGTACACCCGATTAATCCCCTCAAGGCACAACCATGCTCGCCAGAAACGGCTTGGAAGTGAAGAAAATCATCTCGAGGTGTTAGTACCACTCCCTGTCCACCCACCCACCCCCAGCCACCACTGGGAGCGATACGGCAGAACCTGTCCGATTTTACAGGACAGACCATACCCGTGAGGCGACATCAACCAATGTATGGGTGTCACTTGTTGGCAAGCGAAGCGGGCTTTCAACGCCCTCCGCCGTTGGGCCAAAGCTCTCCTGCGTCTTAGGCATCGTTGAACAGACGGACAAGAGTTTCTGGATGAGCAGGAGAAAGGTGCGCTGTTCTCTTAATCGCTTTCTTTCCCCTTCTCTTCCTTCAAGGATAGTGTGCGTAAAGAGCGGCATCAAAGCTAAAGAAGGAGTCCGAGGGAGCGCGGCTTGGGAAGAAAGACCGTCTTGGTCAGTCACTAAATCGGTTTGGTGTGGACGGTGGACTGGGGTTCGAGAAAGCCGCCATTGAGAAAGCAAAAAGAAAAAAATAACCCCCCCCTTATCCCAGCCTCTTTTTCTCCCTTAATAAGCTTGCAATCAAGGGCCGGGTTGTGATTGTCGCTGTCTTTCCCCCGGCCCCAAAGGACCACGGGTTCAGGTCAGCCAGTGACCCCGGCCCCCTTGCAAATACACCGTCCCTCTTTCACCACCCGCCTGGAAAGGTCTCTGCGCGTTTACTGAATTACGGAGCTTTGTACCGTTACCCTTTCGTTTTGTTCCTCTCGCTTTCGCACTTGTCGCCCTCCCCTCTTCTTTCCCCGCCCTTGCGCTCTTTCCCAGTAACCTTGGGTCCTAGTCAAGAACCGCCCATCTCTCCACCCACCCACTAATCGTCAAGGTACCTGAGTAAGTTCCTCGCGAATCTCCCATCAACAATTGCGACCCCCATTCTAGGCTTGGTCGTGCGGGCTTGGGCTGGCCATCCCCATCTGAACCGTGGGAGGGCTGTCTTTTGCCCGCCTGCTTGTCAGTTGGAGCGTAGTCTGGCAAGGTGCCTTCCGTACATTACAAGTATCTTTCCCGGCCTCCTCCTCTTCTTTTCCCTCACACCTCCGCAAAAATAACAAAACCTCTGGTCCAATCCACACCCTTTTTTCTTCTAGTTCCTCTTCTTCTCACCTCAACCGACCTCCTCATTTTCTTCTTCCACGACCTTCTCTACAGAGGAGAGGAAGGTAAGACCTGATCAACCCCTTGACCACAACCACCCTCGCGCCTTTTCCAAAATCTGTCGAGCTTTCCTTTTTCCTTTCACTCTCATCCAAGAGTCTTAAGCCGACCGCCCCAGTGCTCAGCTTTCAACGTTTCTTCCTCGCTTGCATCTTCTCGCTGACCGTACCTGCATTAGAGTTGGAGCGAGATCGAAGTGACAAGGAAGAACAAGTAGGGACGAAGCTCAATTGCAAGGAAGGTCAAGATTCCTCTGACGACCTCGAAAGTGTTTGTACGTCTGCCAACGATATCTGCCCTGCCTCGCTGCTCCTTTCGACGTTGGACGATAAAAGAAGGTGTCTGGGTTTCTCCTTCAGACAGCGCTTGTTCGTCAACCACGCAACATCTCACCTTCACACACCCTCCGCACTGCTCCCACCCGCCGACTCAAGTTCGATCCTCTCCACAACCCAAGACATTTGTCTCTCCTGCGCACCACCCCCATTCTCTCTGCCTCCCCGCCCCCTCGCCAACACCTTAGCCCATGACTACATTATATCTCGCCGCATCCCAAGCAATCCTTGCCTGCATACCAACATAACCAAACCTTCTTTCTAACCTCCTTCTAGGGTCCATCAGCACACCGCATTTCTCACAAATCACCAAATCACATCCCAAGCGTCTCGTCCGAACTTTGGCCAGCTAGGAACTCCTCCTTGCTCAGCATTCTTTCACCCACTTCGCCCTCGCGCGTCCTCGTTGTCCTCGTTGTCCTCCTTCGGCGATCGTTAGTTGAACTTGCATCTTTGTCAAGTTCGTCAACGGTTCAATTGGCTTCCGGGCAGTCATCCCACTTTCAGTAAACACCGAAAAGCTGGATCTACCCTCGATATCCGAAGTTCAGACCCGGGGTTTGTCTGACGGGCAGTATTATTCCTCCCACATTGGCACACGATCGTTGTATATGACTGGCGAAAAACTGCCGTCACTCCCTCTTCCCTATCCACAGGCAACCTACTCGTCGGGTACCACTTCACCCCGAGTTAGCTCCATCGCCTCGTCCGTTAGCTCTCTCGGCTCGCGATCTTCATTCACTTCTGTTGCCTCCTCCAACGGGCCCAAAACCCCTTCACCCACCCTTCCCATTACTGCCTCCATCCCGGGACAGCATTACGACCATTACCCAGCGATGAGCCAGGCTCCTCAAGATATGTACTATTCCCAACATATGTCTGCGGGGCAGGCTCCTCCCCTCAGACCGTCACTTCACACTATGCCACCCACCAGCAGCCGCCCCTATTACAACCGGGCCCTGCCCAGTACCCTCCCCGCCGGCTCCCTATGCGCACCAGTATAGCTATGCGAATGGCCTGACCTCGCCTCCCACGGCGCCTCCCGTAACGGGAAACATGGGTGCAAGCGGCCTCCTGCCTCCTCCTCCCGCGCCCCTGCCGGGAATTCCTGGACAGGCTGCCGCGATGCAGAATCAGTACACAGGTTTTGACACTACTGGTCAAATCGCCCCGCCTGGCATGAAGCCCCGTGTCACTGCGACGCTATGGGAAGACGAAGGCAGTCTTTGCTACCAAGTTGAGGCCCGCGGCATCTGCGTCGCTCGCCGAGAAGGTATGGAAAAGCGCTAATGTGGTACTGTTTCAATGTGCTAACACCACGATGCTATAGACAACCACATGATCAACGGCACCAAGCTCCTTAACGTGGCTGGCATGACCCGCGGCCGCCGTGACGGAATCTTGAAGAGCGAAAAGGTTCGCCACGTTGTCAAGATTGGGCCCATGCATCTCAAGGGCGTGTGGTAAGTGATAGGCAACACTTGTAATACGGTGCGCTGAACGAAGATAATTCTTTCTAACACTGGAGAAGGATCCCCTTTGAGCGCGCCCTTGACTTCGCCAACAAGGAGAAGATTACGGAGCTGCTGTATCCCTTGTTCGTCCACAACATTGGCGCCCTCTTGTACCACCCCACCAACCAGACGAGGACCAGCCAGGTTATGGCAGCGGCCGAACGCCGGAAGCAGGAGCAGTCCCAGCTTCGTGCTCCCCAGCCTAACCCGTCTGGCCTGCCTTCGATCCAACAGCACCATCACGCGATGGCCTTGCCAGGCCCTCAACCCCCTGCCTTCGCAAACTATGTCGAGGCCTACCTTGGAGCGTGCTCACACGTTCCCCACCCCTCCGACCAGCGCTTCAAGCGTAATGGGAAGCATGGGACCTTCGGAAAGCTTCCAGTGGGGCCCACAGCAAGGAATGGGCGGAAATCAAGGTACACACCCCATGTCTATCGACACTGGTCTTAGCAACGCGCGCTCAATGCCCAATACACCAGCTACGACGCCTCCCGGCACGAGCATGCAAACCATGCAACCGTACCCTCCGCCACGCAGGCGTACGATGCCTCGAGGCAAATGTACAGCCACTCCACCACCCAACAGTCGCCCTACCAGACATCGGCGCCAAGCTCGCAGGATAGGTCTCTCTACGGCCAGCCAGCAAGCTACGTCAAGAGCGAGATGGCGCCCCCTCGAGCAGGCCCACCGGCTCTGTGTCCGCCAATGAGCAAGCCGATAACAAGGGTCCCAACGGCATCCTTAGCTCTGACCAGAACGGCCAGGGCGTATCGCACGGGACTGGCGAAGAGGAGCACGAACACGACCACGAGGCCGAGTATACTCACGACAGCGGGTATGACGCCAACCGCGCATCGTACAACTACCCTGCGCCTGCTGTAGGAACTATGTCGGGAGACCATTCCCATATCGCCCCCGACATGACTGGCTCCCCCAACCACCATGCTCCGGCATCTGGCCGTGCCACCCCTCGCAGCGCAGCGCAGCCTCAGTCATACTACCCTCAACCAACCGGCTACACGTCGCCACCGCGCGTACCCTCCGCCTCCAACAACGTGTATAATGTAATGAATAATGATCGTGGAGCGACAGGCGGACAGACGAATGACGTGTACGCTCCCCAGCCCGACATGGGGCTCCCATGGCCAATGGCTACGGAAGCCAGCAACCAGTCATGAACGGAGGAAGCGGTAGTCTGAAGCGAGGACGCGAGGATGACGACCTTCCTCGCCCATCCAGCGGAGGCCCTGGAATGGGTGGCCTGGACCTCAAGCGAAGGAAAACCATGATCGAATCCTCGGTACCCGCTCCTGCCTATGATGCCATGAACCGCCCTAGTTCTGCCATCTCGGCGCAAAGGCGAAGGTAATATCACCTCTTTTCTGGGCCAACAAACAGAACAAAGACATCTGACGCTCTGAGCTCTAGTCTTATCACATGAGATGCGTCAAGCGTATCGCATTGGATTTGACATGCCATGGCCAAATCCGATCCGCCGACCTCGTGTGTCTATTCGCGAGCAGGTGAAGAAAAAAGTATACGTTTGTGCGGCGTTTACAACTACACCTCGACGGTGTATACCACACTCCTTGAAAAACAACCAAAACTCTTTTCTAGACGTCTTTTATTGCTTTTGCTATCATCCCCACTTTCTCCTCCATTCTTCTCTTCCCGCCCAACCAACCCGACTCTTTCTTGCGGGGCTTTGGCCTGAAATTCGATCGATTTCAACGACCCAAAGGGCAGCTGCAACCTCTCAAACGCACAAAAAAACGAAACGATGACGACCTTACGACATTTATTGTTGCTTGTTGTCTACAATGCCCTTGTCATGGCTGTAAACGGCTAATGAATGACGCTTTGCATGGTGGGATTTTTTCTCTTTTTAATTTTCTTCTTTTTTATTAAAAAAGACGAGGGAGGTAGCGGCTCATTATCACTTTTTCTTGCAAAGATTTTGTCACTACTTGTCCCAAAGCCGTTTGCGGTTGGATTTTGCCTCTTCTTCTTCTTCTTTAGGTCACCTTCTTCTTCTTCCTTTTCTTCTTTTTCTTTTTTTTTTTTTTTTTTTATTGGTTCTGAGATGCCTCGGAGATGTTGTTTTTCGTCGAACGAACGCTCGTGTCTGGTCATGACTACGAGAGAGGCGACCGGCGACGCGAGGCCGAATTATGACGGATCACCCGACTTTTACGAGACCTGGAAGGGTAATGTCTGAAATGAAGGGTCCAACTATCACGATGTTGTGGATGGGCTCAACGCGGACCACGACGACCACTAACGCGACTACTGCGAAATTTCATCTTTTGTGCTCTTCCCTTTGTCATCACGAACGATTTCAACCGGCAAGGGCTCTGCTCGGCATGCGATTTGAGCAGGAATGATTACGGGGGCTGGAGGGGACGGGGATTGGTTCCGACTGTGGGGGCGGTGATAGATGTGTTCTTATGCTCGGGAGGAATAGGTGTTCTTGAGTGGGCATGCGTTGGTGTCCACTTCCATGCTCTTTTTCTTTTCTTCTTATGATGACCTTAACGACTAATTGTTTCTTCTCGCCTTCGTATTCACTTTCTCCCTTGACTCTTTTTGCGCCTTTTGTCTTTTTTGCCTTTGGTTTTGATTTTGTGAGGGTAATTCCCTCTTGACGTGTGTGTGCATGTGCGTGCGTGTGCGTGCGTGTGCGTATACGCGGAAGAGTGAGAGCAGCTGAGAGAATGTGCGCGTGTGTGATGGGGTTGAGGGAAACGTTTTCTTGCTAGGTAACGACTTAACGACGGTAAATAAAACAGATATTCGCTCGAAAATCCCACGTGTATTGAGATATTGACACCGGTTCTTTGATGAGGATCATGAAGAGTAGCTTGAGAAGACGAAGTGTTTGGTGATGCTGGAGAAGTATCCAGGGTAATCATTGATTGATCACTTGAAAGGGTGTGTCAAGGCTCCGATACTTGATCCCGGACCTGGTGCACAGTCGGATATAGGGCATACTACGACCGTAACACGGTCGACTTGGCCATGGCCATGGACCAGACGAGACGGGATGGGACAGGCATCCACCAGGAATCTCGGACTGCACCGGCTCCCGAGTCGGCGCCGTGTTGCAGCACTGAGTGGTGCCCGCGACCACTGCTAGAGTCATGTGACTTCGCGTCACTTTGGCAACAGCCCGTGCCTTGAGCACTCGGCGTTCCAGGCTGTTGGCGACACCATGGTTGATTCATGCTGGATGGAATTGATGTATTTAGGCAACTGACGACAGCGCTTCACTCGCAACTCGGTGCCCCTTCCCACATCGTCTTTCCCACTTCTCTAGTCCAGACTGGACCCCGCCTCTCGATCCTTTTTCACCCCGGGATGATCCCTTTTTTCTCTTCATATACTTTTTTCTACCACACCCTCTTATTGTCTCAATACCCTAAAGGCTACGAATAACCCTTCAGAGGCAGAAACACCTTTTGAGCCAGCTTTCACGAAACAAATTGCGCTCAAAATTACGCTCCCCTCTCAACCCCCTCCCGGGCCCTGGTCGCGATCGCCCACAAACCCCTGCCCGACAAAGAAAAGAAAACTCCCTAGTCCCTTTCGACCCCCAGCAGAGAGCAGGGAATGGCGCCACCATCGCCACTGCCTCTTCTACCGCGGGCGCCACGCAGCCACGGCATAAAAGCCACATCTTTGACCCGTGGAATAGCTCGTCGACGGGGCACCAGCGGGCCGAGACGCCCAGCGCGGGGACGGGATGGAGGGATTCGAGAAACGCCAAGTTGACGGTGCAGTACGGCGGGGGCCGCGGTGGCGGCGGAAATGCGAGGATGTCGGACCGGGTGGGCAGGGGATCCGAGGACTTTGTCGAGGGCATGGGCGCGGTGGTGCCGCAGGCGGTGAGGAGGAGGGCGGAGGTGAGCGTGGCGGACATGTTGGCGCGGCCCGGGACCATGAGGGCCACGCTCCCGGGCCCCAAGATTCCCCATGGCGAGAAGGAGGCCGCCGTAGCGGAGGGGCGGCGGTGGCGGGAGATGATGACGGAAGAGGAGAGGCTCGCGCTGGACAGGAAAGAGGAGGATGACCGGGCACACGGGGAGCGGGCGGCGAGGAAAAGGGGCATCTTTGACGGGATCGTGGTGTACGTGAACGGCAGCACGCACCCGCTCATCTCGGACCACAGGCTGAAACAGGTCGTTGTGGAGAATGGCGGGCGGATCTCGCTGCACCTCGGGAGGAGGCAGGTCACGCACGTTATCCTGGGGAGGCCGGCGACGGTGGGCAAGGGCGCGGGCGGCGGCTTGGCGGCGGGTAAGATGGAGAGGGAGATTCGGAGAGTCGGCGGCTGCGGTATCAAGTATGTCGGCGTCGAGTGGTATGTGTTGCCCCCATCCCCTCGTCCTCTTTTTTTCTCTTTCCTTTCCCTCACAAGGCGCTAACACTGCGATTCAGGGTTCTTGGAAGTCTCAAGGCCGGCGTCAGGCTATCCGAGGCGCGGTTCTCCAACCTAAAAATCGCCCAGTCAGGTCAGCAAAGTGTATTTGGCCTGTACACGAAACCGAACAAGACGACCGACAAGGCGTGATAGCCGGGTCTCTTCTGCCCACCTGATGAACTTTTTTTATTTTTCTCCTCCCCTTGTCCCCATCTTTGGGGTGTACCTTCATATCCTGTACGCGGAAGGGTACATGTAGGGTTAGACAGGAGTCGATTGTATATCTGAGGGGGATAGGCATGCATGCATTGGATGGTGGGTGGATTGCATAGGTTTTTTTGGGGGCATCAATACGTCCAGGATATCTCACGTCTTACGATTTACCACTTTTCAGTTTTTCTTTCTTTTTCTTCTCTGTTTCTCTCCGGCATCTTACAGGCTTTTTGAAATCGAGGCATTTCGGTTGGTTCCTATTTTTAACATCTCGACCTCCATTCAAAGACGTACTTTTTATAGATTCTTCACGACAGAGTGACAGCTGCAGCTTCCTTCTTCCATAGTCGTAATATGTTGATCAACTTGCGCGACCATCTCGGCGTAGATGGGCAGCAATCAATTCGCTATCAAAAACTTTTTCGCCTCCTTCCATATCGCATATCGAGCCTCATAGATGACACAGGCAGAAGCTCTTTTCTTCACTAACCAACACCTGTTTTCCAAATCCCTTCCCCCAAACTTCTGGTATCAAGTGAACTTTTACAAAAAGAAGAAAAAAAGGCAAGGAAGCAATCACAATCACCTATGGCCCCCTGTTGCTGGTAGTAGTGTCAGGGTACGAGGGCCCTTTATAAGGGAAGGCTCTCGTGCTTGTACGTCTTCTTGCCAGCACCCTCACCGTAGTCAAGGGAGACTTGGCCCTCGCCACGGAGCTTGTACTTGTAAATCATCAACCCTCGAGGCCAACGGGCCCACGGGAATGAATCTTGTTGGTGCTGATGCCGACCTCGGTGCCGAAGCCATAACGCATGCCATCCGCAAAACGGGTGGAGGCGTTCCAGTAGGCGCCCGCGGTGTCGACGGCGGACATGAACCTCTCGGCCTCGTCCTTGTCAGAGGTCAGGATGGTTTCGGTGTGGTGAGAGCCGTGAGTGTTGATGTGGAGGATGGCCTCATCTACGGAGCCTACGGCCTTGACGGCGAGGGTAAGGCTGAGGAACTCGGTGTCGAAGTCGGCTTCCTGAGCATCCTGGACGTTGGAGTCGAGGGCAGAATCGGCAGCGAGGGCAGCTTGCTTGGTCTCGGTGTCGCAGCGGAGGGTGACGCCCTGCTCAGCAAGGGCCTTGGCGACGACGGGGAAGGAGGTGGACAGGGCCTGGCGGTCCACGAGGAGGGTCTCGAGGGCGTTGCAGGCGGCGGGGTAGGAGACCTTGGAGTCGACAATGACCCTGGAAGCCACGGCGGGGTCGGCGGAGGGGGCGAGGTAGGCGGAGCAGAGGCCGTCGGCGTGGCCAAGCACGGGGATCTTGGTGGAGGACTTGATGTACCTGACGAGCTCGTTGGAGCCGCGGGGGATGACGAGGTCGATGTACTGGTCGAGGGAGAGGAGCTGGGGGATGACGTCGCGGGTGGTGACGAGCTGGATAGCGCCCTTGGGGACCTTGCTCTTGTCGAGGGCATTGGAGATGACGGTGGAGATGGCGACAAAGGAATCGGTGGACTCCTTGCCGCCCTTGAGAATGGCGGCGTTGCCGGACTTGATGGCGAGGGAAGCGATGTTGGCAATGACTTCGGGACGAGCTTCGAAGATGATGAGGAGGACGCCGATGGGGCAGGTTACGCGCTCGAGGGTGAGGCCGTCGTCGAGCTTGGTACGGAGGGTGATTTTGCCAACTGGCCGAGGTGGGATGTTAGACTAGGAGAACCAAGACACAAAAAGAATGAGGGAGGGAGGGAAGGAAGGGCCACTGAGACGTACCGGGATCATCCAGATGTTTTACGTCGCTGATACCCTTGAGCATATCATCAAACTTTCCCGGCTTGGCCAGATCAAGCCTCGAGACCAGGCTCTGGGACAGGGAACCGCCAGCGGCAGCCTCGCGGGCCTTTTCCATGTCGCGAGCATTGGCGGCGAGGATGTCGTCCTTGGCAGCGAGCAGGCCGGCGTGGATGGCGTCGAGGGCGTCGTTTCGGTCCTCGTTGGAAAGGGTGGCGAGGGCGAGGGAAGCCGTCTTGGCCTCGAGGGCGGCGTGGGAAGGGTCTGCGTTGGTGAGGGACATTTTTTTTTTTTCGGTTCCCTTGTTTATTTGGAGTGATGCTTCGTTTTCGTGGAAAAGGGCTGTCGGAGCTAGCGAGAGCTGGAGGTTCGTGGTTTGGTGGGGTCGATTCGAAGGATGGAGAAGAGTGAGAAGGAGTCAACGGGCAAAAAAGAGAGGAAGGGAAAGAGAGTGGAAAACCCCGCAAAAGTGGTATACGACGGCCTCGGCACGCAGAGGTTGGCGGGGGAAAAATGAACAGGTAGAGATCGACAAGCGGTGGGGGATTTGTGGATTGGAATTGTTTCTGGGGTGTGGTCTTTTTGTCCCTCTTCTTTCGTGTTGAGTCAGTAAAAGGGCGCGGCGAGGCTTATAATGCCAGTGTCTGGGTGCTCGATGCTGGCTTCCTTGGATGGAAAATGGAGGGGTAGGGAACATCCCACTTTGTGGCTTGTCGCGTGAGGCTTGATCATGTGTGGCGCACACTCTGGCTTGGCTCTTGGCTCCCAAAGGTTGTTTAACTTTTCTTTTTTTCCTTTTTCTCCGCCACACAAGACTCGAGCTTATTCGTTGTTCGAGTGACTGTGTAAGTCAGAGGCTTGACGAAAAGGCAGGCGGCGTCCACCCAAACGAAGCCATACTCTTGCCGTCCGGGATTCATCAAGGCCATGTGCGCCGGGTCCGATTCCATATCTTCCTGCCAAGGATATAGAGGCTAACCTAGAGGCTAGGTAGAAGCTGTTTTTGGCCTCTTCATCTTTCCATCCAATATCATGAATTTATAAGGCAGGAACCCGAACTCTTGGCCAACTTGAAAATTAAAAGGAACTTGAAGCCCCTGCTCGTCATCCCCCGTCACACACTCACGCAGATGCAACGGATCTACTGATACATGTGCATGCACAAGCTCGCAAAAGACGGTGGCAACTTGGCAACTTGACAACTTGACGGGTGCTTAGTCACATCAGATGGCACTACGCTACACTGCAATTCAAGGTTGCCTTCGTTGTCTTGATTGCCTTGATTGATTGGACCTGATCGGCAAAATCGGCCCCGACCCAGAGCGGACATTGCCAGTGTCCTCATTCGGGTTTAGTGCCGTGGAGGAACAGGGCGTAGAGGGGGTCCGGGAACGCAGCGGGAGGAGAGTCAACTTTTTCTCTATTCCCGCTCCATGGGAGATTTCCCGAGTTCCAATCAGGGCCACGGCAGGTCTCGTGGGAGTGACATGCAGCGAGGGTGCGCTCTATGCTGTACGTCTACCGTGTAGTCTTGAAAGCCTCAATCTTCTCCCTCACTTCCCGAGTCTCGCCCCGATTATCTACATTCACTCCATGGACTCGCAGTGAGGTAAACGTATTCTGATCAGAGTGTGTAATTCTATGCAATGGTCGGGGAAGGCGAGTCGGGATTAAGCCGTAACAAGGCGGGTTGCTCTGATCTCAAGCTTGATGCGCCAAAGAACTTACGGCTCCGATGCCCGGCCGCTCGTCGGTTGGTCGGCAATAAGCGTGCGGACCAAAGAGAAAAGTGTGCGTGTGCGTGTGTGTGGGAGCAGAGAGCCTTTTGTATAGCCGACTAGTAGTCGCCACTACCTTGCCTGATGACAACATTTTTTGATAGCCATCATTTTTAACTCTTGACGTCGGCATTATGTTTCCTGGTTGCGCTTCTCTTCAGGAAGGAGTATTTTTCAGTGCACAGTTTAGTTTCCCTATCACTGATCCACGGCGTTTTCTTTTTTTTTTTTGGGCCTATTACAATCCCACTAGGTTCGGTTGTCTCTTCTCGGCGTTATCCTCAATGTAAGAAGGGCAAAGTGCGTCCATTTCGGTCTTTCGCTTTAGTCGCCGACTCGACTAATTGTGTGGAGTGTGGGAGAGTCGACCAGTCGTGTCCGTCTTCCCTGCCAAGCCTCGGCATTTACACCAGAAGGAGTGTCCAGGAAGGGGAAAAGAGAAAGAAGAAAATCGAATAGCGCAACTTTGCAGCTTGAGCGGACTGAAACCGATGGCAGCTTTGACATCCATGCCTAAGTAGCTCGAGGCAAGCACAAGCACATGCCCACGCCCACGCCCATGAAAGAGTAGACAAACCCACTCGATACATATTGAATTCATGTACATCCATGGTCCGAATAGATCTATCGTCCATTGTCTTCAAAAGGCCGCCCGTCTCCACTGCCACTAGTTCGGCCGCCCCCTTCGCCCTCTGCCCTTCACCCCTTCACCCCTTCACTTCTTCACGGCCCCGGGTCCCCAAAGGAAACAGCAACACTGATACCGCCCTTGTCCTGCACCCTTGCAAGACCCGCTTCCCGCTAGCTTGGACGCCTTCCGAGCGTACATAGAATACCTCCCAGTATTCAATGGGTGGGACCTTTCTCGCCCAACCCTTCCCCAGTCCAAATCCCGAGTCCAATCATGTTGGTCGAATATCCGGCTTTGCTCGTCGCATTCCCGCTCCCTTCTGACTCTGACTCCGACTTGGCGGCCGACTTAATATTTACATGATACCTCTCCCCTCCCCTTCCCTCTCTCTTCCGTTCCGGACTTCAACCTCCTTGCTGTCTGGTGTCTCCCACATTCAATTTCTTCCCTTTCGCCGCCTCGCCTCTTCCTTGTCCCCTTCTTCCAATATCGAGAGCTTTTACTCTTCAAGAGCGTTGTCCGAGTTAGTGTTGGCAAACTTGGTTGTATATATCTATCACTTGCGCATAGGAGGAGTTTCATTCCGGCTTAGATGTTGCGACTGCTAGTCCCTCTCTAGATAAAGAGAGACATGCCAACACTCGTACTCGCCATTCTTGCCTATCCCCCACCGCGCAAGACTAACTTTGTGCGCCACGCTCTCTCTCTCTCTCTCTCTCTCTCTCTCTCTCTGGGTGACCTTTCTCTCTCTCTCCCTACTTCTCCTCCCTCTCCTCCTTTCCTTTCCACCTCTTCCTTGCCCTCTCTCCAAACCGCGCGTCAGAGGTAGCGCCCAAAACACGACCAACATCGAACTCGGCGCCATGGCGGAACTCCCCCAAGGAAAAGGCGGGCCTACCGACCTCCCACATCATCGATTCACCACCAAAAACCCCGCCCCGGCCTCCGATGCCGATCGCAAGCCCTCCGAAACCGAAGAACCGGATAGAGGCCGGGACCGGGATCGGGACCGAAGCACACCGGGAGAAAAAGACGCCATTCAAGATGCCGAGCGCCGGCGCAAGCACGAGCACGAGCATGAGCACGAGCACGAGCATCCTTACGAACAACCCGGCGAGCACGACGACGACGAGCACGACTCGGGAAGCGACGTCGAATCCCACGCCACCTCCGACGCCCCCGCCGACCGCGTGCCCACGCGCTCCTCCTCCACACATTCTAGGGCCGCTTCCATCGTGCCCCGGACCAAGCGCAGGGGCCTGCTCGGCTCCTTGACCGTCGTGCCCGAGGTCGACCGGCCCTACGATTATAGCCGCAAGACCAAATGGATGCTCACCTGCGTTGTTTCTCTGGCTGGTGTTGCCGCTCCCCTCGGATCTAGCATCTTTTACCGTACGTTTTCTTTTCTTCTTGGTTCCCCTATTCGCTGCGTAGTTGCCAACCCCACCCTCTTTCTTCGCAAAAGGTCATGGACTCGTTCGCTAACCATGTCTTCCTTCGTGCTCCTCGAATAGCCGCTCTTGGCATCATGGCTCAAGAGTTCCACACCACTCAAACAATTACGAATCTGTCCATCGCCATGTACATGATCGGTAAGCCCCCTCTCCCCTCAAAACCATTTTTTTCTTTTTCTACAACGACCATGTTGGAAGTTTTTCGCGCGCTAATCTTCGATGCCTTTCCTCCCTACCACAGCCATGTCCATCTTCCCGCTCTGGTGGTCCTCCTTCTCCGAAGAATTCGGCCGCCGCACCATCTACGTCGTCGCCTTCTCCCTCTTCGTCGTCTTCTCCGTCCTCAGCGCCGTCAGCACCAGCATTTCCATGCTCATCGTCATGCGCCTGCTCAGCGGCGGCGCTTCCGCCTCCGTCCAGGCCGTCGGCGCCGGCACCATTGCCGACATTTGGGAGGTCCGCGAGCGCGGGAGGGCCATGGGCTTCTTCTACCTCGGTCCCTTGCTGGGGCCTCTGCTCGGCCCCATCATCGGCGGCGTCCTCGCCCAGGAGCTCGGCTGGAGGTCCACCATGTGGTTCGTCACCATCTACGGCGGCGTCCTCCTCGTGCTCATCGTCTTTTGCCTCCCCGAGACCCTCGCCGCCCGCCATTCGCACGCCGCCCTCCGCCCCGTCCCCACCCGCGAGTCTACCGTCTCCTCCCTCAGCGTCCACGCCAAGCGGGGCTCCGAGTTCCTCCGGCGCATCTTCCTCAACCCCTCCGCGTCATCGCCATGCTGCGCTTCCCCCATTCTCCTCACCGTCATCTGGGCCGCCGTCACCTTTGGCTCCCTCTACGTCGTCAACATCTCTATCCAAAACGCCTACTCCAAGCCCCCTTACTCCTTCCAGATGATCATCGTCGGTGTCCTCTACATTCCCCCTTCCCTCGGCTACGTCCTCTCCTCCCTCTTTGGCGGCAAGTGGATCGATCACATCATGATTCGGCAGGCCCGCAAGGCCGGCCGCTACGATTCCCGCGGGAAGCTCATCTTCCTCCCCGAAGAGCGCTTCGCCGAGAACGCTTGGATCGCCGGAACTATGTATCCCCTTGCTCTCATCTTCTTTGGCTGGACTATCGAAAAGGGCCTCCACTGGATTGTTCCCTCTATCGGCGGGTTCTTCTTTGGCGTGGGCTCCATGCTAGTATTTGTAAGCTAACTCTCCTTCTCCTGTCTACTTCCCTTGTTTTGGACGACTTCCCACATCTCAATCCCGGTTCCTCTTGCACCGTTTCCTTCGCTAACGCTTCTTTTTTCCTCTCCTCTCTTCAAGGCCGCTGCAACCACCGCGCTCACAGAATTCATGCCCAGACGCGGCTCGGAAGGCGTCGCCGTCAACAATTTCGTGCGCAACATTCTCAGCTGCGTCGGCGCCATCGTCGCCGAGCCCGTCATATCGGCCATTGGAAATGGCTGGACCTTTACCATCCTCGGCCTCTTTAGCTTGATCCTGGGCTACCTCTGCATCTGGCTCATGAGAACGTACTCGCAAAAGTGGAGGGTGCAGATGGACGCTCATCTTGAGAAGACCAGGACTCGATAGTTTCGAGGAAGATCTCGGGATGCAAAAATATATACATAAAAATTATCTAATCATGGGGATCGAAAGGAGCCAGGATAGACATGGAAATGGTCTTGACTCATAGCTCTTTGTTGCATTTACCAAAGACTCTTAAATAATGAAAAAGAAAAGGGGAAAGAAGGAACTACATAAAATCCTAAAATCTATAGCCACCAATAAACCATAGCCACTTGCTCTCGTTTACCCAATTGCAGGTGAAGAAGAAAGCCAAGGGCAAGCTTCTAACAACATCTACAGCAGTTATGAGAGATGCATATGCATCCATGGATCTACGTGTGTATACTTTGAATACGACGTCCCCCCGTCTACGCCTTTTCATCCCCAATCTTTAGCAATTCCGGCAGCGCATCCAAACTCAAGTTCCCCGTAAAAATAACGCCAACGTCCCACCCATCCTCCCCACCCTCCTCCTCCACGAGCTTCCGAAAGTCCTCGTTGAAGAGGACGACGGCGAGCGGCACCACGGCGCTGGGCTCCACCACCACCTTGAGCCTCTCCAGCACGAAGCGCAGCGCCCTCGAAATGTCCCGCTCGGACACGGCGAACGCGTCGCGCACGAGACGGCGGTCCCCGCGGATAATAGACCACGGGATGAGGCCCACGGGGGTGCGCAGGCCGTCGGCGATCGTGAGGGTGCGCACGTCGGAGATGGGGCCGTCGAGGTTGGCCCGGATCGCGCGCACGAGGTCGTCGGCTCCCTGGTGGGAGGGTTCGCCGGCGAACACGGAGATGCCTGTGCCTTCGCACTGTTCATGGGCGGGCGTGTAAGCGGTTGATCCATATATCACTCACCCATGTTTTGAACGAAGGATCGAGATCTTTGGGGCCAGCGAGGGGGAAGCACAGAAGGGGATTGAAGAGAAACACGAAAAAGGTTGTCCAGGCTCTGTAGTGAGAGGAAGTATGGGGTGATTTCTGCAACGTACGGAAAGAGCTGTCCCCGACAAGAGACCTCCGCCCCCGCAAGGCGTAATGATGGCGTCCAAGCCTGTCCTCGCCTTCCCGCCCGGGGTTTTAGCAGCATGCTCGGCAATGAGTTCGGCGGCCTGCTCCTGTAGTTCAAGCCCGGCAGTTCCTAATACGCCGCCGCAAAACAGAAGTAAGAGTAAGCCTCAATTAACCCGCCCAAATCAAACCCCGAGATGGCACAATAAGAGACAGACAGAGAGAGAGAGAGAGAGAGAGGAGAGATAGCAAAGGATTGACAGCGTACCTTGCCCAAGAATGATATCAGGGTGATCATACGGCGGCACAAACGTCGCCCCCGTCCGCCCCACCACCGAATCCAGCATCTTTTGCCTCTCCGGCGCCGCGCTCCCGCTCTCGTACAGCACCGCCCCGTACCCCGCCGTGGCCGCCACCTTGGTCGGGTTCGACACCGACGGCATCACCACGTGCGCGGGGATCCCGTTCTCCCTCGCCGCCAGCGCCAGCGCCTGCGCGTGGTTCCCCGAGCTGTGCGTCGCCACCCCTCGCTGCCGCCCGCCCGCCCCCACCCACGCCTCGTCCGCGACCAGCCGCCCGACGGCGTGAAAGGCCCCCGCGCCTTGAACGCCCCGATGCGCTGCAGGTTCTCGCACTTGATCCACAGCCTCACCGTGGGTCGGACGCCCGGCCCTTGGCCTTCCCAGGGGGTGCCCTGGAGCTCGGCTTCGGTTTGCTGCCGCGAGGCAAACTCGTCCAAGGTACGGCTATGGATGACGGGCGTCCGGTGGATATGGGGCTTGATGAGCTCGTGCGCTGCTTGCACGGAGGCTCGCGTGAGGGGAAGACACTTTGATGGGTCGGCCATTGTTTTTCTTGTCCTATTTCTTTTTCTTTACTTTTCGTCTTTTGCCTGATTTATTCGTTCTCTATTTTTGAATATTCCTCACCTAAAGGATCTGTATGAAATCGGGACGGGGTGGGCGGAAAAGGGATAAAAGCGACTGGGATGTTGATGAGCAAAAGACGAAATACCGTAGCGGGGCTATATTGCCTGTCACGTAAGTGAGGGGCAGAAATTCCCAATCCCTCCAGTCTCAGTGTTATCAATGTATCATCCACTCCCGCTTGCACCATTCCCCAGTCTCGGGGACAGATCACATATCCGGATGCCGCTCCCGACCACTCACCACAATGCCATCAATGGCGGAGCCTCATTGTCCTCGTCAGAACCCTGATAGTTCCCCAACTTACTGGTGGGTGCGTAAGCCAATGATAAGCAATTGCACGCTCAAGAGCTGGGAAAGAATTAGGGCGATCGGCACCGGGTGCCGAGGATACCCGAAATAGGAATCCTCCTGTTCCCTTCGTTGCAGGAGCCTCTTCCATTCTTACTGTTTTGGGAGGTCTCTCAGGGTAGCAATCCTGCAAGGGGAACGAGACCAGCAGGACAACACAGGAGATAGTGCATGCAAAGAAGTTTGTGTGAGGGAGTGAAACACAAGACGTAGATAAAAACCAGAAAGCGTCAATCTTTTATCAACAAAGTCTTCCAACCGACCTCAACCCCCAACCCGTGCCTGCCGTCTTCCTCCAGCTCCTTCACCCGACACTCTGTCCGGGTTTTTATAAGTATACAAAAGACTCCGGGGATATCGAAGGCCCGAACCAATGGCCAAACAGACAGTCCTTGCGCCCTAGACGAACATATTCAATCGAAACCAGTTTACTTCTGGTTCTCGGGACGGAGAGACCTAAAACGCCAGCCCTGTTAGTCACTGTGTGTCTTCCCAAAACTGACAAGGACAACAAAGAAATTGGAAGAGGAAGAAGGGGGACGGGGGAGGGAAAAAAAAAAAAAAAAAAAGAAAAAAAGAGAAGGGATGTGTAAGTCTTACCTGACGGCCTTGCCCGCCCTCCAGATCTCCATGTTGCGGATCTCCTCCATCTCGGCCTCGAACTTCTGCCTGTAGTCCTTCTGGCCGTTGTAGTCGAGAGACCTCTGGGTCTCGGTGCCGTCCCTGACGGAGTCATAGAGGTCGTTGAAAACGGGCTTGAGGGCATCCTTGAAGCGGGAGTCCAGTCAATGGCGCCACGGCGGGCAGTGGTGGAGCAGGCCTCGTACATCCAGTCCATGCCGTTGGCACCGATGAGGGGGTACAAGCTCTGGGTGGCCTCCTCGACGGTCTCGTTGAAGGCCTCGCTGGGGCTGTGGCCGCGCTCGCGGAGGACCTCGTACTGGGCGAGGAACATACCATGGATACCGCCCATGAGGCAGCCACGCTCACCGTAGAGGTCAGAGTAGACCTCCTTCTCAAAGGTGGTCTTGTAGAGGTAACCGCTGCCAATGGCGACACCGAGAGCGATGGCCCTCTCCTCAGCCTTGCCGGTCACGTCCTGGAAGACGGCGAAAGACGAGTTGATACCGCGGCCCTCACGGAAGAGAGAGCGGACGGTGCGGCCGGAACCCTTGGGGGCAACGAGGATGACATCGACGTCGGTAGGGACCTCGACGTTGGTGCGCTCCTTGAAGACGGGAGAGAAACCGTGAGAGAAGTAGAGGGTCTTTTAAATCCATTATCGTCAGTATCGGCCCAAAATGTTTGTTTGTTTAAAGCCAGCTTGCGGATAGACTCTCGCGCTAGACCATGGATTGGCTGGCACTTTCTGTTTTTGCAAGAAAGCAAGGAGGAAAATGAAATGGAATGAGCTTACCTTGCCCTTGGTGATCTGGGGCTTGATGTGGGGCCAGGTCTCAGACTGAGCAGCATCGCTCAGGAGGTTCATGATGATGGAGCCGCGGGAGATGGCCTCATCAACCTCGAAGAGGTTCTTGCCGGGGACCCAGCCATCCTGGATGGCATCCTTCCAGGACTTTCCATCCTTTCGGACACCGATAATGACGTTAAGGCCGTTGTCACGGAGGTTGAGACCCTGGCCGTGACCCTGCGAACCGTAGCCGATGAGGGCAAGAGTGTCGTTCTTGAAGTAGTCCTGAAACGCGGCGAAAAAACCTTGTTAGAAAGTATGCTCGGCCAATTGAGTGCGGAACAGCACGCAACGGATCCCCCTCTAGCAGAGAGAGGAGAAAAGTCTATGCGATGGGAAGCAATTCTTGCTCCCCATGGCTGGGGAAGGGACAGGCATGACTCACAAGAAGCTTCTCCTGGGGCCAATCGGCACGCTCTGAAGAGGTTAAGAAAAAAACAGACGGTCAGTTTTGAAGCCACTACGACGATTGCCGAACACGGCACTCGTGAGGTCGAGGCCAATGGCAAAAGGACGGACACGTACCATAGACGTCTTCCTTCGAGCCGGCAAAGTCCATCGTCTTGACACCGCGGACCTGCTGCTGGGCAGGGCCGACCATGGCAGGGCGAGCCTGGCGAGCCAAGCTCCGGCCGGCGGCAGCGAGGGTTCGCTGCTGGACGGCGGGCGAGGCCAACTGGCGAGTCAATTGGGAGCGGATAGCCCTGGAGAAGGTTCGGGAGGCCATTGTGTCTGTTGTGGGGGTGGGAGGAAGGGGAGAGAGGAGATGAGGCAGAGTCAAGAGGAAGTGAGGGTTGTTGGGGAGGTTAAGAAGGAGAGAAAAAAAAAGGTTGAGGGGAGATGGTTCTGTGATTTGGCGGTGGGCCTTGGGGAGTGCAAAGGGAAAATTGGTGATTATGAGGTACATTCAAGCCGGCCGCTTTCTAGGTTATTTCCCTTCTTTTTTCCGGTCAAAATTTTCCCTGACTCTCTTTTTTTTTTTTTCCTCGCCTGTTCTCTGTGCTAGGCTGGTGAGTCTAAAAACGGCCTCACCGACTTCGGGGACCTAGGTCGCACCTTGCCTCGCATGGTCTGTGGGGTTCCCCCTGTCGGACGGAGCAACCAATTGGGGATTGGAGAACCTCTTCGAAACCGCTGCTGTTGATTGGCTCGTAGGAACTGGAACCCGTGGAGCCACATTTTGGTGGGGCAAGATGACTCCTTAAGTAAGCCGTCTTTCCAAGTCCGGCACTGCACAAAGCACAGATGGCAGTTGCAGTTGTACGAGGCAGAGGCACACGTCCCTGTGTCGGCCGTCCGACAGAGGAGCTTGGAGGTCGCTAGTCTCTGGGTCTCTGGGTCTCTGGGTGGAGTCTTGCCCGAGTTTGCCCACTGTTTACACCCTCGGGCTACTAGCGGAGCTTGACGATTACGGAGTAGGTTGCTTTGCTGCCCCAGACTTTTCGCCCTTCCGGATAGCGCAGCATTCTCGAAGGCCTATCCTCGGGCTCGGAATTCGTCCTCTGACTCATGTGATCCCCCACGACACCCCCAAAACCTCGATCTTCAGATCCCCACATACATCGAGACATACAACCCCAAAAAGGGAGTGGAGGAGGGGGAAGGCCCTACGGCATAGAGCCGACGACGAAAAGCTTGGTCACAATGGCTGTAGCCCGAAAATTTTGAATCTCTTCTGCAAGGGGAACAACGTAAACCGAGTCATCACCTTGCTGCGAGAGATTGAAGCATGGAATTATGGATAAATAGGAAGGAAGAGAGAAAGAAGAAAGAAAGAAAAAAACGAAAGTAAAAAAAAAAAAAGTCAGTTTACCGCCTCGCTTGATGCCCAACGATTCCCATTCATTTCCCGGCAACGTCTGCCGTCAATTTCCCGCCCTCGCAACGTCATGAAAGCACCGTGAAAGCACCGTCTATGGAACACCGCCAAGTTCACTCTTGTGAAGCCTTGCGCCTCGTGCCCACAACTCCAGCTCTATCGATAGCCCCGTGATGCACAGCCCGAATGTGACTGGTGTAAAACATAAGGAAATAGAGGAGCACCGCTGCGTCTGCTTGGTCCGATCAGGTCCCTCGAGCCAGCATCGGTCGCTTAATAGTAATATTCTCTGGTTGTTTGACCCGACATGTCGTCCGAGCAGCTTGCGGGGTGACCTTTCCCTTCAGGGTTCGTCGCCTCTTATTTCGACACTTTGTCATAGGAGACACCCTTGACAGACCCGCCGCCCATGGACGTCCTCACGTTGCGCTTGAACATCTCCCGCGTCTGCCTTAGATCGTCGGCGGCTTCCTTGTTGAGTGGATCGGAGGCGTTTGGTTCGAGGAAGAGAAACTATGGCGATGGAAACGGGTTAGCAGGAAGGTTTAGTGATGTCCACTATCTCGGAAGGTTGCCGCCTAGCCTAGATAGAAGACCAGACCGTCGCGGTAATAGACCACGGTGTATCGTCATACCTGTAGCCCAACGATAACAGCATTGAGATTCAAAACGGGCTTCCAGTCCTCTCGGAGAATATTAAGGCACACTTTGCCCTCGAGGTCGATGTTGGGGTGGTAAATCTTTTCTCGGCACCGCACCTTGGGAGGTTCGTGGGGAAAGTTTTGGTTGATGGCAAAGGTGAATGTGAAGACGCCGCCGCGGTACATGCCCTCGTCGGGCTCTATCGTAAGGATGAAGTTCAAGATGTCGTCTGGGTCGGGGAACTCTGTCTTCATGGTTGATCCGAGGGACAGTTCGGACAAGTCTACCCAGAACAGCGAAAAGTCAGTTAGCAGTGCCACCACATAGAGATCAAGGCAAGCAGAAAGGCTACGGTGGACGCATCTGGAGGACTGAGGGCAGAGGGGAAGGGGGAGGGAGGGAGGGAGGGAGAAGGGAGAGGGAGGGAGAAGGGAGAGGGAGGGAGAAGAAACCCCGCGATACCTTTTTGGACTCGTAGCTGCGCTGCTGTCACCTTCTTCTTCCTTCCGGCCGCACCCTCAGCATTTTCTGCTTTTTGTTGCTCCTTTTTCTATAGTCACATAGGTTGCGTCAGTGATCGTAAGCCCGCAAGGGAAAGGGAGGGGGAAAGACAGTCGTTGGCGGGGGATCGAGGGCGGGCGAATCGAACGGACCATAGACCATATTTTGAGCATTGTGAGCCAAGGGCTTTGCCGGGCCGACGAGCCTGGCTATCGGTCGATCGGGGTATGAAACGAGAGGGAGTGTCGCGAGGTTGGAGATGTCGTCTCGTCGCCGGTTATATGGCGCCGCTTTTTCGTCTTTACGAGTTTGGCGTCGGAGTCAACACTGCGAAGTGGAAGTTGGCTGGTGGTGGTGGTGGTGGTGATTGGGTTGAGAAGGGATGGAGGGGTAAGGTGGGTGAAAGGACGAACGAGCCAACGTTTCTCGTGTGCACGCCCCGGGTGCCTGATGAGGGAGGGAGAAGGGGAAGAGAAGAGGGTAAGACGCGGAATTTCGAGGTGTCACTCGTCGTTTCTATAAATTCGCTCTAGGACTTTTATATTCCATGGAGATGTGCAAAGGAGCAGGGCGTCGATAAAATCTTTCGTCTCTGCCTGGACGGTTTGCGGTTGGCGGTTGGCGGGTGGCGGCACTCACTCTTGGAACAAGGCCGCCGCAGTCGCAATTAGATGTTAGGCTGGGCTCATTGACACTACTGGATCCCTTCTTCCCCCTCCACCCCACTCTCCCGACTGCAGTCTTTTCTTGACCACTGCCAAAGAAATTTCTAGGCACTTGAAATCAATACAACCACCTGTCGCCTGCTCACACAATGGCAGAAGGGTACAGTGTGCAATTCACAAAGCCGCCGAGCTTGCTGACCTCAGCTCAGATTGTTGATGAATAATTCGTCTTGTCTTTGAACTGTATTGAATGGAATCCGATTAGTTAGGTTTATCATACTGCGCTCATGGTCTCGCTTCACAATGCGTTTATACATCTTCCGATGGCCTGTTCCGAGGGTCATCTGGCCACACTTTCATTGATACATTGTCAACTACTTGATACACATGTAGACATCGATGAATGCAACATTGGGTTTTTGGGGAAAAGGCTCCTTTTACCAGAGAACGTTGGTATCCTCTCTGTTGGTTGCCTTGTATTTTGTTCCTATCTAACTATTTCGGGGCCATTGGGGGAGCTGTTAACCCCGGGAAACCAAGTACACTTGACCGAGTAATCTTGAAAAGAAAAATTGCATGGAGCACTCCGCGAGGCGGTAGTCTCCGTAGTCGTTCCTCCATTCAAGAAAACTCCGAATGAGGTTGAGTACTTTTCACGCCGGTACCAATCCCTATATGGATACAATCAAAAGAAAAGAACCAAGGCCTCCCTTTGGCCTGTGGCAAGAAACCGAGGAAAAGAAAAAGGGTAGAAAGAAGAAAAAGTCGGAAAAAGAAAAGGCTCGAGCAAACTCCGATTACCCCTTCCTCACAACCCAGGCCAGCTGAACAAATGGTACAGGCTGGGTGGAAAATCGCCGCCAAAGAGAAGAGAAGAAAAAAATACACGACTGGAAAGGCGGTGGCGGCTATGGAAGTAGCACGTGGTATATATCGCCCAAAACAACGAGGGGAAATGGAAGAAAGTAGCAAAGGATAGTCAGAGATAACAAACGACAGCAGTTGCATGTCTATGTGCGTCAATGGAACGGCAAGGAGATGAGGAGGTGAGAGTAGAGAGAGGGTATAGAGAGTACAGAGACAGGGAGAGAGTGTGAGAGAGTGACAGAGAGAGAGAGAGAGAGAAAGAAAGAGGGAGAGGTCTCTTCATGGCCACTTTAGATCAGAAACCCTTGAATGGGTCCTCACGCGAGAAAAGTCGTCTTCGCCAGCCCGGCTCCAGTCATCCGTGGCTCGCGTGCCACGCGAGTTGTAGCTGTCGCGATTTCGGCTGCGACTATTGCGCCGCCTGCGCTCTTTGCTTCGTCGCCGAGCCGAGTATCGGTACTCGTCAAGTTCGTTGGGATACCCGTCGAGTCTTGGGAAAGCAAGGGGGCTGATGAAGGCTTCCATGCGCACCGTCCCAATTGCATCAAAGAAATTGGCTGGGCGGGATGATGCCTCGGACGTTCTTCCGGATACATTCCCTTGCGCCCAGGTACCGGCGCTCGAGGCTTGAGATTGGTAAATGTCTGACGACCCGGCCGTCCCAATGCTGGCGGCGACGCTATTTGTCGCCGTGTGCTGGTACGATCCGCTTCCTGCAGGGCCCGAGAAGCCCCGGAAGGAGAGGGGTGGGGGTACGTGGCCACCAGTATTGCTACGTTTGCGGCCATGAACCATGACATTGTTGGCACGCTCCTGAAGACCTCGCTCTGGGAAATTCCTCTCGTGGAATCGGGGGATATAAGGAGGCTCTGCTGCTTCACGCGAGCCATCGCGTTGATGGGTACTAGGAAGTGGGGGAAAGCGTCCGGGTTCCTGTACGTGGAGATATCACCAATGGAAGACGGCGGGGGCTCATCGGGGATGCTAGGCACGCTCGGGATGCTTGAGGGATTGGCTCGTCCAAACCCACCCTTGCTCTTGGTGAGTCGGATAGAGTCCCGGATACCCGGCCGCCTTGCCTTGGCTTGCGGCATCTCAAAGTCCGGCACAGCCTTCGGGGTTGAACAGCAACGATCTCGGGGATTGCCTGCGATGAGTGTGCGAGGAAAGAGAGGGCCGTGAGCCAGACGTAATGGCGTTCTGCCGAAACGGCCGTGAACTTCAGCGCTCGCTGCGGGGTGAGGATGAGAATAGACCGGTTGAATATGCCCGTGGCACCCTTGGGGCTAGGGTTGTCATCCTTGACGTCGAGGACAGATTGGATTGTGACTGCGAGGGGCGTTGGATTGATGGTTAGTAAAGAGGCACTACGACAGTTCCACGGGGATGAACTTGGAAAGGGGGTGGGAAAAGCTTACACTTGCGGCCTGGCTTGCCCATTAGAGTGCTGTTGCTATTAGGCTGCTTGCTACTCCAGAGGATAGCGCGCTCATACGGCGCCAGCCATACCCAACGTTTATGGCGATCGTTGCTGTTCTCGTCCCTACTGCTCGCTTCGGGCACCCCGAACGACTTCCTCCTGCGCACGTACTTGAACATCCATTCGCCAACCATTGTCTGCGCGATTGCATCCACGACGCCAGTGCTCTGCGACGTGTTGTTAGTGGACGACGCAACATCGTTGTAGCTCGTGCTGGTGAAAGCCGTGTTCGTCGAAGGCTGCGAACTATGCATCCGGTACTTGACGCTGCTACCCGCCCTATTCCGTGGGGTCGTGATATCGTTGAAAGGCAGTGGCGGTAGACCCGGGCTCTCCGGCGACTCAAGTGGCTCGGGGAACAAGGGCGGCGACCGACTTCCGTTTCTCTTATATCTAGGTTTGACTGGGATCGCCGCGGCGGAGCGAACTTTGCGGATACTGTTGGCGCGATAATGACTCCTGCTGCTGCCCCTCCTGTGCCAGCTTCCGCTCGAACGGGTAGGGCTACGCGCACCATCGCTAGGGGCGCTCGCACTAATAGGTGGTCGTCGTGAGCTGGCCCTTGTTGGGATGGGGAAAGGCGGATCACGAGCATCAGGAATACTCGGGCTCCGAGCCCGCCCCTGGTGCGTAGCGATTCCGCTCTGGATCATAGCTGCCTTGCGCATGATGCTGACCTTGTTGGCAGTGCCAATCACCGCCGACTTTTCATAAGAGCGCAACGATCGCTTGAGGGAGGGCCGCCTGGTGAGTGACTCTCGCCTTTCCGGGAGGTTGAAGCTAGCGTAAGCCTCGGTGCTAGCCAGCGGCCGCATCGAGCTTCGGCTCGAGTTCCTCCGAGACGTCACCTGCTCAGGAGACATGGTGCTCCAAGTCGAAGACGAGTGTCGCTTCGAGGCCTTTGGAACTGGTCCCGTAGATCCCTTGGGCCGAGGTGCGGAGAGAGCGGTTCGGAACTCAGAGTCGCTCATATCCGCCTCCATGAATTCGTCGACCTCATCGGAACTGCCTCCATCAAATCCGGCGAAAAGACTACTGATACGATGAGGCCTCTTGACCGGCGCTCTTTGGTTCGACAGTGGCCCGTCATCATTGTTGCCCGGATAAGCATCATGGAGTTCTTCTTGGCTCCCCGGAATGGGTGGGGGCGGTGAAGACGGGGCTTCGGGAACGCTCGTCTTGCTGAGAAGGCGCCTGGGATTCCTCGGCGGCAGATTTCCGGGGACAGGGGTAAACTGGCGACCCTCTTCAACGGGGCTGGAAGGCGTAGGGGGCCGCGAGGTAATGGCCGACGGACGCAAATGCTCGGGCAACTGAGCGAGGCGCCGGTCGATCCTAATCTCCTCGGTTTGGACCGAGGCAGTCGCCATCTCGACGGTCCTCGTCAAATTCACTTGGCAGCCAAAGTCTTTGAAGTACTGGGGCAGGCGGGGCTCTCGAGGGGTAGTTGGTCGGCTCGTAGGGGCACGATGCTAATGCTGGGGATAGATAGCTGGGGCATGGGGAAAGCCTCGGGCCGGGGAAGAACCGGAGGATCCGTCTGAGTGGCCGAGGACACCATGGGGATGGGTGGCGGCTGGACGACAGGCGGGGAGGGGTGGCCGATCGGAGCGGCGACTTAGGTGTCCGAGGGGGCTCAAAGGCTCTTCCATGGTTTGGGAGCCCGCCGAGACCATCTGGTGGATCTGGCCCTTGACTGGATCGATGCTTAGAGGACGGCCATAATGCACGCGCTTCCTCCTTTGGTTCGCCTCGATTTCGTTGTCAGCGCGGGACGAGCTGCGGGATGCAGGGCTATCCAGCTCATGCACTCTGTCGAAGAGAGCAACTGGCTCGGGGTTGAAGGCTTGGAAGGCGGGAGCTTTGGCGACGGTGGAGGCGAATATTGAATGCCTGTATCGGTATACGTCGGCTTCGGCGGCTCTTCCTTTTGAACCTCGTCATCCTCATCCGCACCGTCTTCTAAGATTTCTAGGACTGATTGATTGACGAAGAGCCGCCCTCGCGCAACGCTACCCGGACGTCTCAGGCTTTCCATGCTCTGGTTGCGCCTGTGCATGCGCGACATGACGCTATCCCTGCTCATGTTTCGCACATGGCGATTATTTGAAAGCACGCTTTCGCGGCCGTCGTTGTCTGTTTGCCAGTCGTCATCGCCATCGAGATTGAGCTCGTCCGCGAGCGAGTTGCCATTCATCTTGGCCGCGTTGGGACCGCTCAGGACGGAGAACCGGATGCTGTTTGTTATGCTCATGGTTCTGACACTTGCGGCGTCGGTGTCCTTGGCATGGTCTTCAGCCTCGCTTTCCAACCCACCATTTTGCAAACCATTGGCTTGAGCAACCTGGTATGCGGCCACCTCATCAAGGACAACCTTGAGCCGGCTCTCCGCCACATGAACTCGTCGCTCATATTTCCGCTTCTCCTCTTCCCAGAGATCCTTCTCCTTTGCCCACTGCTCGTGAACCCGCTCGGAATCCTCTTCTTGAGACCGGAGTTTCTTTTGCAGCGCTTCGAGCCTCTTTTTCGTTTCCGCGGAAGAGTCAACTGCCTCGTCGCGCTCACGCGCAAGCTCGCCGAGAGCGGATGAGGTACCTCCTCGAGAAGCGCAAGTTGGCGCTTTAGTGACCTGGCCTCCTTGGACGTATTGGTGAGATCAGTTTCAAGCGTCTCTTGCTCTTCGCGAGCGGTGTGAAGCGACGCTTCTAAATTCTCAATGAACTTAATTTTCTCTTCCTGGTCTCGGCGCAATGACAAGATCTCGGCGACCAGGTTGGCGTGGAGTGTTGGGGTAAACCGACGGGGGTCAAGGATGCTGATTGTCTCATCGGTGCATACATCTTTGGAAGACCGCTTGTCGAGACGGTCGCTGGAAGGCATTGGAGGTGTTGACGACCCTTGGCCTGGCGGCGTGGCGGACCGTCGCGACCTCCTCGAGCTCCGTCGCGATGGAGTTTTGTACGGGGTATCTTGTGGCGTCGGGAGCGAACCGGCTCCGGTTGGACCGCTGTATTCGTCTTCCGTCTCCCACATCGCCATCTTGACTTGCTTTACACAACGGATTGGTTGGAAAGCTGGCAGCAGGCGAGTGCCAGATTTAACACTGCACCAAACCCCGCATCAAAGAGAGGGAGGAAAAACTTGGGGGTTGCTGTTGCGCTTGGATCACCAACTGGGGCGCGGTAATGAAGCACCTCTTAGTGCACAACACGGCCGTCAACGAGGATCCCTGTTCGACAGCAACTAGGACCGGAAATGAAACGCCGAAAGAAGCAGGGCCAAAGTCTCCAGACAAACCCTTTTGGGGAGCAAAGGAACCAATTTTCTCTCCTGAAGACTGTGCATTAGCTGTGGAATTCAATGCTCTCAAATTTTCTTCAAGACAGGTCGAATTTTTGTTGCCCTTAAGACCACGACCAGAGGGATGTTGTTTTTCACCCCGGCTATAACTGGCGTCAACTTACCTGAGAAAATGATTTTGACAATAGTGTAAAAGGAACGAGTCCAAAGGTTTGCAGAGTTGTTCAACTTCACCCTGCGTCACACATGAGCATTAGCATGAACCAGACCCTGACCCTGCTCTTATCAGACAGCTTAAGCCTTTTTTCGGCTCCCGATTAAAGGGGGCTTGGGGAAAGAGAATCTTTCCCCATTTCCAACCCCCCCCCTCCCTTCTCTTGAAGCCCTTCGGCCGATTTTTAACTGGCGCCCGGTACTCGGGTTTCAGGAAAGGATTTTCGTAGACTTCGCCGCGCCCTCGCTCCATGAGGATCGGGGGAGGGGCGGGTTGCGGCCAGTAATTGGGGTTCAATTGAGACGTATAGGTGAGACCTACCTTCAGCGATTGCGGCAACAACAAGAAAGAAAATGCAGGCTTTGGGCTGCACGAATAGGAATGACCCTCTCAGTCCATAAGAGTATTCTTAAATGGTTTCGAAATGGCCATGACAAAGTGGCAGGTAACCGTTCACAGCGTCGACGTCGTCAAGAGGGGTTGGAGCTTGTGGGGTAAACTGTCGCAGAGAAAAAACTTGGGTAAACGAGCGTGTCTATCGTGTAGGAGGCACGACAAGCAAGAAACCACCAGGGCGAGGTTTCCGTTCCGTGTGCGTCTTCGGTAGTGTTCGGCGTTGGCGGACCAGTTCGTTCTGCTGCAGCGTCTCTCGTCAGTCACCACAGCTCAACCAAGTGTCCAAGTTTATCCTGAATGCCGCCTGAGGAACTCTTGGAGGCAGCCTGCGCATTGCCACGATGTCTCAGAGAAGGGCAAAGTGAGACTCACCGCCCCAAGCTAAGCAAAGCTCAGCTGTCTTCTGCCTCGACCAGATCCGGTATATATAGATGTATAAGGTCGGCGTAGGTACCGAAGCGCAGATCACTAGAAGTTGAAATGAAACCAGCAGAAGAAAAAGAAAAATCAGATAAAAGAAGACGGGATGGCGATTTGTCGCGCAAGAGGATCCGGGGAATTCACCGGCGTCGAAGAAAAGCAATTGCCTGGCGGAGATTGTAGCAGGCGTCGGCGCCACGAACTAGAAATTGGTCCAAGGTGTAAGAGACGGGACACTTGAATGATTGACTAGTGGTTGGGTGAGGATGTAGAACATTGGAGGGCGGCGAAAAGTGGTATCCACAATCAGTGGCAGAGCTCTCACTCGTTCTGGCAACGAGACTGGCGGCGAGAGCAGTCCGATACGAGATGAAGGGATGCCGAGCAAATAGCAAATGTCGCTCGCGCCTCGACCAACCGAGAGGTGAAGCAAGATAGGTTGAGTGGCGCAAAAGGAGAGAGGAAGGATAATGCTTACCTCCAGATCAACCCAACAAAGAGGTGTTAGTTATCCACGATCCAGCACTGAACACGATCACCAGGTCGAGCCAAAGGGTTGAATAAGAAAAGAAGAAGAAGAGAAGGGGGATGGGAAAACGAGGTGAAGCGCGCCTCGTGGAGTCAAAAGGCGAGAGAGACCAGGGTGTGAGGTGGGCTAGCGCAGATGATGTATAATAAAAGAGGACGCAGATCACGGCCGCCTCTATTAGTCTTGGGAAGAAGCCCCAGTCGAGAACGCGGGTTCTTTTGGCGACAAGGGACGATGCTCCCGGAACAGTGGTACGTACAGAGGCGCGAGCAAGCTGGGCTCGCTGCGCGCGCACAAATGCTCCCACTTGCAGCCGTCAAGTCTGCCCCAGTCGCTAGGGGTGGGCTGGCTGGACTCCAAGAGCCAGAGCTTTGCGTCTGGTGCAAGGCACGGGGTGACGAGAGCCCCATGCACAAGCCAAATCTTTGATTAGGGGATTCCTTGATTAGCGGCAGACCCAGGGTTGGACCCAACGTCGTACTCCGATGGATAGGCACAAAAGCCAGGGGATGAGTGGTGATGTTAGGATCCTGACGGCGCTGATGCGACTTTGCTTGTACATCGAGCTCGGTCTCCTTTGCTTCTCACATCGTCCGCACTATGTCTCATGATACACATTTCGAGGCACACGGAAGCCTATATTACAAGTAATTCGGACAATTGAGGGAGGCGAGGACATATTATGAGATCCATCTCCATGAATGGGTGGAGAATACAAGGACAAGGGCAAGCGCAATGCAGGCTTGAAAGATCTTGGCCTCGAGCCCTGTACCGACATGTGTGACGGAGTGGACTCCACTGATGTACACGACGAGAGGGAAGGATTAACCCAGCAGATAATAATTCTCATACTGATACACCAGGGAGGAGGGCATAGCGGGGCCTCGCAGGCCGGAGCCGCTTCCTCGTCCATCAACCGCCACAAAATTCCCACTTGGAAGCTTCCATGCACCTCCTCGCTAGAGGATCCTTCCAAGACTCGCCCAGAGTACGAGGCTGCATGGCGATATTGGTTTAATGGAACAGCAGGCCCGCCGTCTCGGTCGGAGCTGCAGACGCTGCAGCGATCAACAGCCTGGGCCTGTCCAGCATCTTGCTCACGTTGGGACGAGGGACGGAGTGATTGATAGCTACAGCGTTGGGACGAAGTGGTGAGAAGTGCACGGGAAGAAGTAAGACGAGGAAAAAAAGAAAAAAAGAAGGGGGAAATATTCGAAACTCTTTGGTCCTAGCGAGAGCGGATTGGAAATTATACAGAGCTTCCGCTGCTTCCTCTGCAGATGACAATCTGGCTAATGCTACCCCATGCTGGCCGTTGTGCACAGTTCTCGTGCTTCTAATCTCATCTTCACCCCCAGCTGCAAGTACGGAAGGGGACCTGCCCTCGCCTCTCGCGGGGTGGTAGCCATCCCGTGCTAGCTGCTCACGTTGGGCATTTGTGTCACTCATATTGTGCGTGGGCTGTCCACTTCGCACACGCACAATCCCCCTTCCGCTTCCGTGTGTCCTCTTGCCTCGCTCCTCCCTCTTCACTCCTCCCCCTGTGCCTTCCAGCTTCGGGCGTGTTCCCTTGAACGGACAGGCAATCCCATCGCTTGCCGCTAAACCAATCTCGGTCGGTGACAAGAAGGATCCCAAAGGGAAATGGAAGGGTTACAGGCTGTGGGTCTGGTATGTCAAGAAAAGGAGTCGGATTTCCCTTGCATTGTACCTCCACCGTAGTTTGTACTTTAGCATCGAGCTACTCTACAGAAGTGGATGCGACAAGGCAGGTAAGGCCTATGGCACGGCCGGTCCTCCCAGGTATTGGGACCCGTCGTGATGGGTACATGTACGTCGAGCCTAACCAGTTTCCAGCTTTGACCCCTGCTATCTAAGTGCAGAGCCAGCGATCAATGTGCAGGCATGCTCCATTATGATCTCGCGAGCATCAATCAATTTGATCCCTCTCGTACGTGCTGCAGCACAGACCGAAACTACCGAGGACTTGCGCGCTTTGAATGGCAGGCAGGCCATGGGTGGTGCGCTTCTTCTCCCGACAGCCGTTTCCGCCTGCACGAGAAGGAAGGGAAACTCGAAAGTGAACAACGGGTATTAAGAAGTGGATAAGAGGAGACGAGGAAACGAGGAAACATATCAATTGAAACAGATCCATCGTCCAACCAAAGCCTCGCAGAGGATGAGATGGGTGGAAATTAATTCACATTCTTCTTCATCATCACCACAGTCTACAAGTATATCAACACGCGAGCCGGCGCTTGATGAGACACGTTCCCGCGTGGTCCTGAAATGACCGCGTGTGAGAACGGGATGGCGGAGCAAGAAGGTGGTAAAGAAAAAGGGAAGAAAAAGAAAAAGAGGGAGGATTGCAACGCCACAAACAAATCGCGATTGACGGCGGACGCCCAGCGACAAAAAGTATCCGTCCCTGTATTATTCGCCGCCTTAACGAGCTTTCAATACATATTAGCTCCTTTGGCCCAAAGATATGTGGCACTGCGCGTTGGGCAAGGCGGCGGTTCTCGTGGAATGATTCTATTTCTTCTCATTTATCCCGAGCAAGGAGGATAATGGCGCGACACGTCCCCTGACCTTTTGTTCCTTTTTCCTGTCTTGGGGTATCACAGTTCCTGGCTAACTGCAGTTATCAAGACCCGAGCACGAGATTGTCTGGTTCTGCGGCCGCCTGCCCTTGTCGTGGTGAAGGTGTTTGTTCGATGGTTCGGAAGCCTCGACTCAGCCGAATCCCCTTGGCCGGATGTGATTCCGTGTCCCGGACAGTGCGAGAGATAAGTTGCAGGGGTTCGGCCGAGAAGCCTCGATGATGAATAAATGTCATCTTTTTATGTCTTGACTCCTGTGCATTTCCGATCTGCCTTGGGAAAGGGCCTCTTCTCGCCATTTGAGATAGGATACAAAGAACAAGAATAAAAGAAGAAGATAGAGAGGACAGAGGAAAGAGGTAAGAGACAAGAGACAAGCAAAATGTACTACCCTTTTGCCAGTGGCTTATTTTCCGAGGCTCTCACAACGTACAAGTAATAAGGGCCTGGGTCCGGGTTTGTCACGGCGGCTTCACGGCTTCACAAACAACCTTCCTCTTCCACAACAGGAGCCGTCGACTATTCAAGCCATTCCATGCTTATCGTGTTTCGACGCTTATCCAGACCTGTAGATTCCAAGACCCGCGGACGCCGGGACCATGAAACGGCTGCGTCTCCAACCAAAACTCGGGAAAATCCTCTTCGCCCGGCGCATTAACCTTGCAGTCGTGTCGAGGCCACCCTCAGGATACGCTAGACAGGGTGCGCAAGACCACACCCCGCTTTGGCTCTGGCTCCTTTGCCCACTGGCTCACAAGGACAACCCGAGTTGAGGGCGGGCAAAAGCACCACACTCACAAGAGGAGGGGGCACTATGAGGATGACTACTGGTATTACAGGGTGCAAGCATTCAGAACTCGCCCCGATTCGCATTGAGGATGCCCTCCATCTCGGCACATCTGGCGCCTGGTGAAAAACTTGGCGGCGCTACTCACCAAAGAGTCGAGGTGCGGCAATGAAGCGTGTTTTGAATCTCTAGCGACGTCTCTTCGCTTGCCTCTCCTAAAGATGCCTGACCCTGGTCGGGAGGCTAATGAACGCGAGTCTCCTCCTGCTGGCGACAGTTGCGAGCGAACGCTAGTCCACTTCGAGCGAGTTGACTCCTACTCGGAGGGAAACAATCATCAGCTCTGCAACCGAGAAAAGCAGAAAAACAAGAGAATGGATATGTCCGAAATTCTATCTCATGCAGGGTGAACATCTCGAGTATCAACCCAGCTTTCTCATTCCCTGATCAAAGTAGAATGTGAATACTACTTCCCCTGGGAAGCCCAGCTTGAGCCAAACAGCCCACCCATCGATCTATTCCTCTCGCCCTGGTCATGCGAGGCCCCCACCAGATTCGAAAGCGGTGCGCATCACTAGCACAAACCAAACTGCAGAGCGCCAGAGATATTTCGGCCATGAAATGCACCTATTGAATAATTCCGGGACAGGTGTTGAGGGACGACCCGATCCCCCACCCACACGGGATGAGGGCTTTACAATCTCAGTAGTAGAAACAAAGGCAAAGGGATAAAAAGAAAGGAAATTTTGGTCTTCCGAGAACCGAAAGCGGCCCGCCGCCCCAAGCGAGACTGAAGCCCTTCAGGGCTGACGCTCCAGAGGATGGCCTGATCTTGCCTCCTCCCAGAAGCAAGAGGCCCGTGAGCCATCGGGATACCATCATCATTCCTTCGGAGAGACCTTGGGCAAGGCCGACAACAGCCAAACTCAACCTGGGAAAGCTCGCTCGATGAAGGTAAGTGCGATATCCGCGCCTTCAACCGGGTACCTAAATAGTGCCCCCTCTAGAGGCCAGGCCCATGTACGAATGTCCAGGTCCCTCAGCACCGTCATTATGCTGTTAACCCAGGAATTGATCAAATCCACTGGTGGCAGACCAGGGGCCAACAAAAACCGCCCCCAGGCATGGAGTTCAAACAATAGTGGTCTTTCTGCAATCTCTTCCCAGGTGGCGGCGTTGCGATGTGGAGCCAAAAATTTCCCTCAGCAGCTGGGATAATAACGCCCTTTGGCGACGATATGAGGGGACTTGAAGCCACAACTACAAGTATTATCCCCAGGACAATCTATCCTTGCCCTCTGGTGCGGAAGCCACTCTGCTGGTGATGGCAATGCACTTGAGATTTGTTCGTGTCATCAATCCAACCCACCATTCTCCTCCAAAGCCTAGGCCGGCTGTCCCATCCATGGGGATACAAGAGGCATCACTCGATTGCTCCCAGCTGGATGATTAGCCCCTCCCTATTCGTAGACATTCCGAGTCCCCCTATTTTGAAGGGCAAGGGTATGATTGCCCAAGCTCCATGCCCTGTCCCCCACTCTCCAGGCTGAGTTGGGGGAAATCTGCGAAAGAATTTTGGTTCACTGGATGAGGGATAAAACGAACCGATTCATGCCCTTGTCAGTCAGGCAAACAAGGCCCTCTTCAGAAAATCGGTGGTTCCAACTCGTTCCAACCCATTCAGGCGGGTCTAGCAGGGGGTAGGCGTACCATTTTGGGAGGGGAGAAAAGAAGAGAGCTCGGGATGACAGAACCAGCGATCCGTCTGTGGGCACTGCCACTGAGTAGCGTGTTTCTTGTGTCTTTCTGCCCTTTTCGATTTTGAAGACTTTCCCCCTTTTCTCCTTTCCTTTTTCTTCTTTTTTTTCCCCTCCTTTTTTCCTACTTGAATGAGCTCATGTTCTTGGGGTTGGTTTTTCCCCAACGTCTGATGAGTGTGCCGCTCACGCCGAAGCTCCAGCACTTCTTGTGCAAGTCGTAGTTCTTCCAAGCAGCTAATTGCTTGGAATAGATAGCCCAGTCCATCCACCATCTCTTGAAACATTCATACAATGTATATATTTTAACACTGTATAAGTATGTGAGTCCACCAGGAAGTTTCCTCGAAGCATCAACTCCAAGCAGGACGCATCACTGAGCATGAAATGCGGTCCTTGCATCAGTTCTACTTCGTACCTTCCGCTCCACATTGCCATGGGCCAGCAGAGTCTGCCCTCCTTCATGAGTCGGAGAGAGACATGACATGTCCGGGGAGCAAGAGGTCACACATGATGTAAGCCAAAGCAGGCAGCTGAGGTAAGGCGATGGGATCACCGCCCCCAGCAGACAAGCAGTTGGCGGGGAAGTGGGCCTAGCATATCCGAACACCAACCGGAAGACTTCGCCTCGCCTCAGTTCAATCCAGGGTTGAAAAGTGTCAGCAATGGGCCCCTTGGTCTTTCGGCTTGGATTCGTTGATACTTGGATGGAGACGCCGCCAAGCACCTCGGCGGGCCAGCCAGGCCCTAGGCTATCCCCCCTCTTCCCCCAATCCAACCGACCAGGACGGACGCTCTCAAGTGATGGGTGGCTCGACCGATCCTTGTCGGTGGGCATTGGCCTGGCCAGGCCCCTGACTTGGGCGAAGGTCTGTCCCAACCAATTCCTAGCCGTCACCAGATTTCTAGGAATACAACACTGAATCGAGGGGGTCACGGCCACCACCAAGTTCCGTTCGATCATTGGCAACAAGAAGCTTTCCGTCTTCCTCATTTTCCGCTCTTTCGGCGCCATGTACCGAATCGTGTACTTGTAGCATGAATCGGTCAATCAATTGGTCCTTCAACCCAATGATCAGCTCAGTCATTCAAGTTTGATACTCCCTGAGTCAACACTAGCATCCATCTCCAAGTAATCCACGCCAGGCCCGGCCCCAAACCGGGGCAACGTTTCCACCTGCTCGATTGATTCAAGATGGGCACTGCGGAATCAAAAAGGGAGGGGTGGAGCGCTAATCAAATTGCTTCTTCTGCTTGGAGTCAACCCTCTATTACAGCATTCCCCGGTAATACCGTGCGGCCCGTTGTGGTCGGGTACCCACCCACCATCACTGAGCCTTGACTTTGTGTGCTTTCTCTTGACGAAATGGTTGGTGAGTCTTGATTTGATGTGATATCAGTGGCAGCGCCACGGGCCGAACTCTTCTTCGACTGGCTGTTTGAGAGCCAACCACGGAAGAGGGACAAAACTAATTTGAACTAGGTCACGAAAAGGCCGGGCCGCCACCGGGACGTGGGAGCCCTTCCTCCACTAAATAAAGCGCCGCTTATTATCCTTTCGGAGGGTTTCCTTTCCACATTTCAAGGCCCTCTGCTAGAAAAGGAAAGTCGAGGAAAGAAGCAAGGAGAGCCGGCGCAGATTCATGTTCGAGAGAGGGAGCGATGAGACTGACTTGGTGGCCCAAAAGCACCCGGCTCCCACACCTCACCAGGAACCATTGGCTTACATGTAGCTTCTGATAAAGCATGGGAGTTCTGGGTTGGTTCTTCCGAGAGAGAGAGGGCGAAGGCGAGCACCCTGTCAGGATCAATCTCGTGTTCCTGGCCAGGCCACCACCCACGGGCTCCTCGCAAAAAGGCCGGCTTGGCCTTGAACTAATAGTTGTATTATTACTCGGTACAGAGCAGAGTGGACGCTTTTGGACACTTTTGGACGGGGATTGCACCTCAGCGCAGCCCGGAATCGATGGTCTGCCCACATCTCCCCAGATGCAAGGCTCCGCCCACCCCAAATGCGAGGCTCCAACAGGATCCCCTGGCCCGGCGCCCTCACCCGTTTGGTTCGGTGGCGGTCTCACCCCACGCACTAACTGACTGAAATTGGAAAAGGATCTCTGTTTCCTTCTCCCACCCGAATTTTCGTGTTTGCTCCCAAGGGAGATGATGCGCCGGGGAGGCGAGCCATGGGGAGCCTTTACACGTGGAAGAGGAGGAAACGCGATTGATGGTAATAATGTCCGCACACAGCGATCCCTTTTCCTTAAAACATGGGAAGCCCCAAATACGCACGGACGAAGAAAAGAAAAGGAAAAAGGAAAAAGACGCGTCCATCGCTGCATGCTGTGGAGGCACACCTTTCGTATCCCTGGGCCTTCAAGCTCGCCTCTTCAACTTTTTGTTATGTCAATCGCGGGAGACCGTGTGTGCTTTTTCTTTTTTTTTTTCTTTATATTTGTAAATGTGCCGAGGTAGTAACGTCATGAGATACGACGTAGCCCCTTATTGCATGCCCAGAGAAGAGCAGGAAGCAATGGGAAAGGGTGAAGGGAAAGAGGAAAGCAACGCCACTTGAGCTATCAGAGCAAGGCCACAATCTCCCTCTCGCCATATCTCATAATATCTCACTTACCAAGGGACACTCGAAGGGACTCGAGTGTCCGCTCGACTCCGCGCTTGCGCGTGCCATCAAGTGACGCGCCTCTTCCGAAACCGCCGCGTGGTTGCGAATCTCATCAAGTGTGGTTGTGACTGATGCCGCACTCCTCACCCAAGCCAGGGGGTGTCCTTTTTCATCTACACGAAAACCACCCTGCCCTCTCCCATTCTGCAAGGAAACTCGCAGTCAGACGCAAACTCATGGAAAAAGGCTGTGACCCGAGTTCCTAGGCCCTGCCCTTGTTCCGATTCGTTTCATAGCACAATGCGAAGATGATGTGATGGATGTCACCGTGATATTTCGTTATCGTCTCATCATATTTCCTTTTTTTTTTTTTTTTCCTTTCCTTCCCTTTCCCTCTAGTATCGATTACTCCGCAAACCGGGGAAGAATCGGAAGCACGGTCCCCCAAACGCGCTGAAGGGGCCCAGAGAGGATCAAAAAGAAACTCGACGAGAGAGAGAGAAGGTGGGGAATTGAATCTCCAGAAAAACGCGCGTCTACGCTCTGAGCGTCGTATCGCCACGATCCTTCTTCTTCCTCTGCGGCTCATCCTCATTTCCTCGTGGAACCGGGAACAAGAAAGAAGAGTAAGAGCCTCTGCTCCCCGATTCTTTCTTCCCTCTCTTCCCGCCTCTTTTTCTTCTTCTTCTTTTGCATATGAAATGGAAGAGGTCTAAGAGGTGGGGAAAGAGAGCCGAGACCCCTCGGCTGAATTCGAGCTTCCATAGTGTCATGCCGGTCCCCGTACGATCCGTAAAGTCTTCCGAATCGGAAAGTAAATTCCCGCACAGAGAATAGACAACCTCCCGTGTCGGCACTTGTGAGGTCCTCCGTAGAACTTGTCGTAAGTGTTGGTGTCGAGAAGTTGAAGAGAATTCACTCTCCCAGCCCTCTGGTTTTCTCTCCGGCCTCCCACCTCTCCGGCGAAGGTGCTATGAAGCGGGTCTCTTCTTACAAGTTGTATATTGCTTTCATACAGCGCCGCCTCTGCGGGTACATGGCCAGCCCGGTTTTGAAGTCGGTTGGGGAGAGACCAAGCCCAAGACTGTTCTTATGACATCGCTCAAGAAGAGGAAATATTCAAAGTGAAGGTGCACGTCCGAGTGTGCTTCTCGGTCCACACGAACTGTCTAGCATAGGCTACACATTCAGTGGAACGCCCCAAACGGATCCAAGTATAAAGATATAAAAACGAATAAAAAGACGTGAATAGAAAGAAGAAGAAAGGTGAAGCGGAAGAAGAAGGCAATACGTCTATCTCTATATAGCACGAAGTAGACAATGAAACATATACATATCCTAACTACAGAGGCATACTCCTTTAGTCGCGGTGAAGACTCACGAGCACGTCTCTTTCTAGAGTTGGAGGAATAAGTATATGTCTACTATCGACGGGATAATATGCTCATCTTGCCGATATATTTGAGGCTTTTATTTGACTCTGCCACGAGACTTGATATCGCTGGTGCCATTGGACCCGTGGCAAACGCTACTCTAGTTGCTCAACTCTTTTGATTTGGAGACCGCCGGCTGGGAGCCCTCTACAAACGTGCTCTTCTTCACCGCGACGATCGGGTACTTGCTTAGGGATTCATACCACTGCACAAGGCTTCCAATCTATCTCATTGCGTCAGAGAGCTACCAACCAAAGGTGAACGTCATGTTCGTTGGCAAAGGACGAAGACACTTACCAAGAAGGCCCAAGAACCGATAAAGGTTGAGAGCGTGCCGGCGTACTCGATATTTGTTTTCTGGCCGGCGAAGCCAAGCGCACCGCATAAAGTGAAGCCAATCGCCCCAACGAGATTCCAGAACCCCATGTGCCAGCCGAGAGAGGTGAGGTTGGGAAGATACCACTTCTTCTGAACCTCCAGCATGAAAAGCCAGCTCGATATTATGAATCCACTCCCGCCGACCACCTCAAAGAGCAAGTTAGCAAGCGTGGCCGGCCCCTAAAGGGGGTGGACAACGTGGCACGCAACAAGAGACTCACCTGGGGTGCCCAATAAGCGCCGTTCAGCGACGGGCCGTGAAGTTTCTCGTAGATAGGCGGTAGGCCGCAGATACCGGCGATCCAAAAATGGTCGCGCCCCAAAACTGGGACAGGCAGGCCAGAAACCCGATTTCGCGAAAGTAGTGCGTCCTCAACTCGTGCCAGCTCGGCCACCAGCTCCACTTCCTCCCTGTCCCTGTCGTGTCCGGATCTCCCTGTGCCTGGCTTGGGGAGCCTTCGAGGACTTCCCTACTCGGCTTGAGGAAGGAGTGCTTGATGTGGTGGTGATGCGCACAAGTTTGCCTAGGCTTGGGCAAGAGATGCAGGCCCTCGCCTTCGATTGAACGCTCGAGTGCCCAGCCGAAGCAATCAGTGCGGTTCTCGTTGACGGCCTCTAGCATGAGAAGGACCGATCCGATCTCAAAGACGGTTGCGCCGACAAAACCCGTGATCCCCCCTCCCCAGAGGACTTCATTCTTAAACTCCGAGGAGGGCGCTTCGAGGGGAAGCCAAACAAAGAAACCGTTGAAGCACCAGATGATGGAACCTACACTTGATAGTTAACAGCTTGTGCCACCCGGGGCTTTCCCTTGCACGAAGCCGACGAAACCGACAGATTCTTACCCAAAGTGAATACGATGGCGACATCATACGATACGTCCCAGACCGGATACTTCACCAGCATCTTCCAAATGCCTCTCACTACACCTTTCCAGGTATTGGTCGGTTGAAGCGGCCCCACCGCTCCCGACTCGAGATGGTCCTTGTTCACGACCGCAGCGTGTCTCCCTTTTCTATTATCCCGGCTCCGCCAGACATGCCACGCGGTCGCCGGCTGATCCTGGGGGCGACCATATCCTTCCTCTCCCTCTTTTGGGAGAATGGGGAAATATGCAGTCGTGGGGTTCAATACCTTGACCGACCCGTGAAATTTTCTTCCGGTATGATAGAAGCGATTGCTAAAATGCCCAGTAGAGTCCTCCATGGTCCGGAGTTTGCGTCCTGCCATGTAGAGGGCGGCGTGCTGTGTGACCTGGTGGACAACGAGGTTGACGCCATGAGAATCAAGCAATTTTGACGACCCGCTGCCTTGTCGCCCTTTATCAATGGGATTTATCCCTTAGACCGGATTTCAACCACTTGAAAAAGAACGAAGCTCCCTCCTCGCCAAACAAGGCACTCGGCCAATAGACAAGCCAAAACCTTGACTCAGCGATTTTCTCGTAATGCTAACTCATGCCTCAAGCCTAGTCTGGTGTTTAAGACCTGATGAGGTGTGTTGAGCGATTGTTGGTTCTTCTCGAGTTGGTTTAATTCCAAACTTAAAATAGAGGCTGTTTCCCCGAGTCCTCGGGACCGGGCGGAAATATCCAGGGACCGGAATACACGCCGCTGATAGATCTATCGCAGGGCAATAGAAAATTGCCTTCTCTGTAGTAGCTCGGCGACCTCTAAGTGGCTATCTATTATGATTTGGTCTATTGTGCCACGCGCACCTCTAGGGTATACGTTGAATGTCTTGGCTAGTGGTGGCGATGGTCTGGATAGGCGCGAATTAAAATAGACCGGCCATGGCTCCCTTCGCCCTCGCTCTCCCCGAGGGATCGAATTCCAGCTCTCGTGGTCTGCAAGTGGACTAGTCTGGTGGAAGTAACCAGTTTCTACCCCAACACCATCCTGCTAGCACCATTTGAAAGGTATAAACAGGGTTTGCCGAGACGCCATCTGCCTCGGCCCACAGACGTCACCCGTATATATCACCAACCGCCGCAAAATGCGTCAAATGGTCCTCACCTTGCTTGTCCTTGGCCCCATTCCCGGCCGCCGTCAGACCCCCCTTTCTATCTCGCCTGTCAACTCGGCTGACGGCCGGGATATGATACTGATGGACTAGTAGGGTCGTGTGAAGCCCTCGGCTTGGTGAGCTATCAGCTTTTCCTAGTCCCATGTGAGACATTTGGCTAGGGGATTTACATGTAGATACTGGTGTTTGGACGGATATATAGAAGATCTAGGTCTAGTCGCTAAATAGACCGCGGCGATGCCGTGTGAGCCGTCGTCCAGAAATATCGAGATTATGGGGTTGGGAGCATACCGTGATCTCATCCCAAAGTTAGGATATAGCTGAGCTTGCTCCCTTTTGGGTCTCTCACGAGGACGACGAGAGTGACACTAGTCTACTCTAGTCAGAAGCCTTTTCTGTTTCGGGTGGCGCAAGATATATAGCACAGGTTGGCCTGGCCAAGGAAGAGGCAGCCTCGAGGAATCAGTGCGTAGAATACTCGCCATCACTGCACCTTGGACTGCTGCGGTGCTTCCCTTTCTCGCTCGTTGGTGTAACTACAGCGCATGTGCGTTGTAAATCCTCTTACCGTTGCTGTTGGGAAGAGGGAGCGGGTGGTGATACGAAAAGCGTGGACGCTTGTCGTGCATCTGCAGAGGCGCAACACCAAAGGCGCAGCTGTCTAGCTAGGCTGGGTCCTCTTTCCCGTAAGCCAGAGACACCAAGAGAAGGAGATTTGTAGTTCCCGGTTTCTCCGTGGTTAGCGCCGGCTATATGGGAGGCGTCAAGACTAGGCTGATCGGGTAGGGAAAGACGGGCCCGTACAATGGTTCTGAACTTACGGACGGAACGTGACAAAACCACCCTCTTTCCGCCTTACATGACGGTACGGAGAGGGGGTGTACACCACTCAGAAGTGGAAGGTACCATCTAGTATGGAAGTATGGCCATAAAAAGCAACTGGGAATCTTCGAGTACCCATTTGATCCATTCGCCCCTCCTCTCGCTCGTACTCGGGCTGTTACACAAGAGAAGGTCGAGAACAGGCATCTCGATACTGGGGAGAAGGGGTAGGGGTGCCGTGCTGATCCTTCTCCACGAATGTCTTGTGGCCCGAGCCGTCACCTCGCCAGTATGCCTTTGCTACAAAGGATCGCCAGGTGCGCTCGCGCGCAACGGATATATCCGTCAGAAGCCATTCATCAATCCTAAAGCCTGACTATCCTGCCCTAGGGCTCTTCCGTCCCGCATCGTTGGCTAAAGACGTGGCGTGAGCTATAGGCTACGGCTACATGTACAATGAGCCTTTCACGATTGGGGCTGGTGCGAGGTCTTCAAAAATGCCGTATGTATGTTCTGCCCGATTGTAGCCACGCCTGCTGCCTCGCCGCCATGAGTGGAACCGCATGTATCTGTTTTTGAACACTAGGACTAGTTTGGAAGGACCAAACGCATGCTGTGATGGCACATCGAGCAAGGAAAAAAATAGATGTGTAATTCTTATGGAAAGTGCGAGGCAACTATATTGATTCCAAAGCAGTCGCCCGCAGACTCAGAATCGTGGGCAAGCCCAAGTTTCAGCTTGACTCTGCTTCCAGGCGAGACTTGCCGCATTTCAAAGACACCATCTGGTCATCTGATACGTAGTGGCGGCAGGCTAGACGTGCTCTAAAATGGCGATGACGTCGCGGTCAACTTTAGATAACCTAGAAAATGATAGAGCTGAAGGAGAATGTAAGATGCTAGCATTCCGTACAACACTCCTAGATGCACAAATTTCTCGATCGGACGAGACACGAGGGGGGTGCGTGCCCCTCCTGGCGAACCCGTCAGCCTCGAGCCTAGTAGCCAGGGTCGAGGGCCGGGTGGGAATGGTGGAATTTTCTTGATCGGCAGATTCGCGACGGATAGTCAGATCCACACCAACGTCTTAGCATCCGTTGCACAGAAGAGAAGAAAGAAGAAGAACAAAAAAGATGAAAGTGGCGCACCTGGTCATTTTATGCGTATGATCGAATGGTGGATGACTTGCTGAAACGCGAGCAGTGGGGAAGGCCCCCCTTGCGCGAGAGATGTTGGTGCCATTGAAAAGTCTGGGATCATGTCGACACCAGGCACGCGCAACCTGGTGCTCGCGGCTGAAAGTAAAACTCGCAACCCCGCGACCTCGACGACCTCGCAACCTGGCTGCGGGAAGACTCTTGTGGGGGATGGAGTCTGTTCCCGGGACCAAGGATCCGACGGCATAGGATCGGGCGGAGGCTGTGCCTTGACGGGTGTCAGAACCAGGCTTTTCGGCGGGCCTGCAATCCCGCCCGGTGTTGCAGAAAGGAGCCACCCACCAGATAAACCGCCTGGAACGCCGGCTCGGGGGCACCCAGTTCCCGTGTTGCCGTGGCCCTGTCCCCTGGCGGGAATGAGAGGGAATGGTCCATCCATTAGATCAATTGTAAATATTCCCGCTCGAAAAAGTTATGGTTCGGACCAAAAATTCGGACGGCGATCACCCATCTCATCATCGTCCGGGACCACAGAATCTCGTGCACCCCAAACCGTTGTTCCGCCATCTGTCGAGCCTCCAGACCAAGGAAGGAAGCTGTACTGTCTTTTTGCCATTTGCCATTCGCCATTCGCTATTCGCCATTCGCTTTTCGCCAAGGCCTATGGATCTTTCTCCGCCCACTTGATGTATTCATGACTTGCATCGATCTCGTACTTTTCCTTTCCCCAAGGGAATGGCGGCGCTAGCTACTCTTCTAGTCGCCCCAGACCTGTTACACTTCGTCACCGACTTTGGCCTATCAGATCATTGAATCTGACTGCGGGGTTCCCGACACGGCGGTGATTATCGATATGTCTTATTCGTAGACACTGCATGGAGGAACGGCCGCGTACAAGGCGACCAGGTTACGGTGATTCGGCAGCGCATGTCTGGGGATTGTAGAGATTCAAACCCAAAGCCTTGAAGTGACCGGGCGGATTGCTCTCTTTCCTTTCCCCTCTCTATCTATCCTTACTCCTTACTCCGTAGAGGAGGCGAGAAACTTGAAAAATCAACGACGACTTGAGAGAAGACATGGTCAAGGTTAAGACTAATGTTACGTTGCCAGTCTTATATCTGGCTTGGGAGAAGAAAAAAAAAAGGGGGGGTATACTGCTTAAAGGTTGCGCAATAAAGTGCACTGCTTGTATTCATCCGTCCGTTTTTTATCTTGCTCTTTGACGTCTCTGCGGGCCGTCCTTTTTGTCTGTGTTGAGAAGGAGGAAGCGAGATAAGGCCTGAGGTTGTCCTGACCGGCTGCTGTCGTCGTCGTCGGATGCAACCCATGCTGTCCCGGAAAAAAGGGAGAGCAAGGGAAAAGGCTAACCCCATCAACCAAAGCCTCGGTTGGTACAGGATGGATCTATTACGGATTGATCCAGGTATGTATCAAGAATGATGGGGGTTTAGAGAGGGTGGTTGTACACCGTGCCTACCTTGGGGTGCATCTCGCAACATGGACGGGTTGAGTGAGAGCTTAGCCGGCGAGGGAGTAAAGCAGGGCTTTGAGAGGCTACGAAAGGTGGAGTTCCTGGTATCCGAGCCTCAACTCGTGGGAGATGATGACACAATTGGTTATTTTTATTATCCTCTCTCTTGGCCCCTGGCGTCCATTCTTTTGCTCGGCTGGCTCTCTTTCCTCTATTCCGGCAAGTCTGGCTCTTCTTTCCCTTTATCACCAATATCAAGTCCTTACTAGCCCGCAATGGCACATGTATCGTGTCGTTTTCTTTATCATCGAGATTCGAGAGGGCGCGGCATCGAGCTATGAAGACACCGCGGCAACTCCCATGTATTGAAAACAAGAAGAAAAGCAAAGAAAGAAAGGGGCCTTGAGGGGAGGATGATGCAGCCTTTACCATGTCTATTGACAAGGAGGCCTGCTCAGAAGTAAGAATGAAGCATGAGAAAAGGAAGCTCACAAGAGACACGTCATTATTCACTGCTTTGCGGGAGCAACGATGGAGCTCCTTAGTTTCGCCCCTGCTTGTCGTCAGGGATATAGTGCTTGAGCGATGAAAAGAGTAGCTGACAAAGTATCAAGAGGAGGGCGGACTCAGGAAAGGGACTGGGGATGGGGACGCATCGGGGTTGGTCTGAGTGATAGATCTGATGGATTCGTCATGGATGTATGCGAGGAGCGGGATAATAACCCCTAGGGCAAAAGGAAGAAAAAAGAGGGAGAGTATGAAAAGTGACAACTCCCGAAAAACAAGCAGGGTTGTTTGGTCTCCAGGAAAGAGCCTCCGGCGGGACGAGCGGGAGGTCGGGGCCCACATCCGTATCCGTTGGTTGTTCTCGTTATTTGGCCGTCAAAGCTCCGCTGCCGTTGTGGGTGGAAGAGGACTTTGGTTAATTGGGCGGTGCTCAGTGACCAAGGCCAAGGTGGTGCATCGTCGGTTTGAGACGACACGAAACGAGGGCAGACCAAAACTGCAATCGCACTATCACCTTCCCGAATTTTCACGTCCATGGGAGGGCACCGCTTTTCTTGAAAGTGGAGGATTTGGGCATCATGCAGCTTTGTCATCTCGTCACAGATCAGATGCAACCGCAACCACGCTTCCCACAGGCGAAGGCGAAACTCGCCCGTTGGCATTTTCCACCTATCTATCCATGGAGAGAATAGTACCCTCTCGGAGTCCATCTGGGAAGAGCAAGGGCTCGGTTCGCCAGTCGAGTTTGCTACGTTAGCAGAGGTCACTCTTGAATCACATCCGCGCAGGGAGGAGTGGACGGGTATGTCTCGGCACGACCAATCTCGCCCTGAGATGATCCTCGGAAGCGTGCTGGTCTGAAGTTTCCTACGGATTATTTGAATTGAAGGGCAAGAGAACAAAAAAGGGATGAGAAATAAAGAGGGCTCAACACAAGAAGGGGATTGCCCCTCTAGCTCTTTTCCGTTTCTTTTTATTTTATTTTATTTTTCTCCTTCGCTCTTTTTTCCTTTTTCTTTTCAAGGGTGGTTGGTTTCCTCTTTCCTCGACACCGACTCTCGAGGTGAGCGAGCTATTGGATGGAGGGTATTGAACCAGACCGGTACTGAGGGGCATGCCTTCCGAACCAGTTCGCGATATACGGTACACTACTCCACGCTACCCGACACCTCAACCATCGGTGGTTGTCCAAGTGTGCGTAAGTGCCATCAAGTAGATGAAAAAGTGCAAGGGGAGGTAGGCCGGTCAGTCCGTGATAGTGGTCGATCCGTTGTTGGTCCCTCCCTTCTGCCCCCTTGCCCCCTCTCAGTTCATGTCTGCATTGGACCACCCTTGTTTCGCCTAGGGGTCTGAACGGGAAAGAGAAGAGAATACATTGTCAGCCTCTCTGGACAGATGATTTTGTCATTGTATGGACTTATTAACAACTCGAGAACTGGAAAGAAAAAGAAAAGCGTGGTGTAAAAGAGGGGCGAAAAGGGTAAGAGAAAAGAAGGAAGAAATAAATTCATCTCTAGATTTATTGATGGTTGCACGATGAATGAATGGAATGGGATGGCAAGATGGATCGCTGGCCGGAGGGATCCCTTGTATTGATAACCTTCAATTTGTTGTGGAACGCCTTGTCGGCATACTGGCCAGCCACACTAATTTCATAATACTTTTTCCCTACGTCAATTGAATGGATCTTTTTATCCTTCCACCTTGGTTACTCACGCCTCTTCCCTTTATGGGTCGTTTAGACTTCTGGTTCTCACTCAACCCTTTGGCTGCAAGTCGAAGTGGTTTGCAGCACGCGGCACCCACTTCGCAGGAGCTTTGGCCATGTGGGGAGAGCGGAGGTGCGGAATGGGGGTGGGTGGGTGGCCTCACAGTTGGGGTCCACGCCCTAAAATGGATTTGGTCTGGAAGTGGCCGAAAAAAAAAAAAGAACAATGGGCTCCATCTCTCAGTCCTGGTAGAATGGGACGAGTCGGGTTCAAGGCAAAATGGGAAATGAAGATTCTCGTGCTGCATGTGGTTTGAGTAACGAGCAGCATGGCCAACATGTAGCACATCCGCTGATTTAGGGCTGGACCCGAATATCTCCAGCTACATCCAGTATTGTTGACTACATCAATGTATAATCTTCTCTTTGGGGCTCGTGAGCAGGAAGAGCTAGGGTGGGTCAATTGATCAATCAATTGACCTACTTGTAATGTGCAACCTCCTCCCCTCCCCCTCCCACTCCCCAAGGCTGCTCCTCCTAGGTGCTTTGGTAACTGAGAAATCTATCGATAAATCACAAAAATTGAAATTCACATCCATCCCCACGCCAGACACAGGCTGGATAAAGGCCGGATGGAGGTCGCCGAATCCATCAAGCCCAAGCCAAGCCAAGCCAATGCCTTCCTCCTCGATCCCCCATGTGTGCGTGTGCACATGCGCAATTGACGCCTCGCCTCGGAACTTCAATATCTTGACAGCCGTTGATTGACGCATGCGGACGGCCACAACCCACTCCCGATGTTGGATACGTATACGTCACGGTCAGTATCCATGTATGCATCGACTTGAAATCAATGCAGACGGGCCCAACGGCGGCAAAGCTCTCAGTGCTTCAAGTCCCCTGTCTGCACCTGCGGTTCTGACTGGCGCCGCTGCCGTTCCCTTGGGGTGAGATGACCACTGGGCTGCTTGGGTGTGTTGCCGGCCTTCGAATGCGAATGCGGGCAGACCTCCAATGTTCAAACAATGGCTGTCCAGGTTGGAGGGACTGTGTCCTTTGTCTGTCTGTGGAGTGCATGGAGTTCATGTTCGCACTCGCTCACGCTCCTCGCACAACACACATGTGCATACGGCCTTGTTCTTTAGCATAAGAGAGAGGGCAAAGTAGTGCTCGTCAATCTCTTCGGGCCCTCCAATAGATAGTCATAATACAGCTCGATGTTCCCGAACTAGGGATTGGAGAAAGTAATCCATGGGGGTATCCTAGACGATTGAATGGAAAAATGGACACGAACCGGCCGGAATAGTTCGTTCTTTGCCAGGTTATGGGAGCTCCTTCCACCCTTCACCCCAATATTTGGGGAGTTCTTCTTTCTCTCTTTTTTTTTCTTTTTTTTTTCTTCTTTTGTTTTATCAGGTGGCTTTTCGCCATCCCACACACAGACATGGGTTAATACGGCACATACCGACTCGTTGGATCGAAATCGAGGTGAGCCAGCGTCTGGATGGGTGGAGGGCAAGGAGGGTTACGATAGACCCCGACAAACAGCCAGCGGAGTGATAGATAGAGCGGGTTCCACCGATCCCGTTATGTTGCCTGGGTACAACTCTGGGCTGGCAGATCCTCACACCCGCTCGAGCTTCCTCAATCCACGCTCTCGAGTATGGATCATGGCCCCTTTCCAAGTTGGCCCGGTGTGTGCGCTCACTATTCCCAAGTGCAACCTTGTTACCTGTCATTTCGCGAGTGTTTGGCGCGAGCCATCCCCACTCGAGACGAGACCGTCAAGCAAAAGATGGGGGAGGGAAACGAGGGAGACGAGGGGAGGATGGCTGATGGGTTGAAAGTAAAGTATCTATTTCCGTGAGGTGTCTGCCTTCTGCCTCCGTTGTGAACAGACTGGAAGCTAGAATGCACAACCTGCAGGAGGTTGATGGGGAGGGCAGGGTACTGGATACCAGAAAAAGACCCAGCGACAGTTGATCACCCCTTACAACCCGCCAGTGGCGCGAGTACACCGTACCTCTTCCTCCAACCGACCAGACGCCAACCCTGAAGCGGCGGCTTTACGCCTCCGTTTTCGCCTTTATCCTGCCACCCCCTCCCTTCGTCTTGGTTGTCATGCCTCAAAGTCGCTTTCACCCATTCGCACCCTGGTCCTCGAGCCTCTTCTTGGGGGCCCTTCTTTTCCACTGCCGACTTCATCCCGGGCTGAGCTCTTTTTATTCTCTCTCGAGTTCGTCCTGTTCCCTTTTCTCCCACCCTCTATTATTACGAATATTACCGTTCCGTTTAGCTCCATGTCTTGATTTGTCCCCAAGACCCTCCAATGCCATGTCGACTTCGTGTAATAGGGACACACCTTTGTTCCTAGCTCTTTCTTCCTGTGCTGTCTCTAGTGTTCTCATCTCGCCCACTCTACCGGTCTCTCGATCCCGCCAACCTAGTTGATAAACGTTGTCTCTCCTTCTCCTTCTCTCTTTCTACGCTGGTCCTTGCCATTGCTCGGCCAGGAGAGGCCCCGACTGTTTCTTAGCCTCCCTCCCGGTGAAGTAGTTTAATACCTGAGGCGTGTCGGCGACCCTTGACCCTTGGGATGTTTGGCGTGGATGGGATGGACATGGCTTGGACGGGTCATACACCACTTGGTCGCCCAGAAAAGACTTGTACCTTGAGTCGTGGATGTGGATGTCGGGAATAATGGATGTACCTCCCGGTGGCTCCCTTTCCCTCCCCTCCCACAGGAGCGTAATGTGAGGACGACTTACTAGTACGACGGGGCATAGTACAAGTACATTGAAAGAATGGTTGAACTCTTACCCCCCTTCTTCCCCCCCACCCCTCCCCCAGCCGCTTGGAGCGCAAGAGTACCCGTGCCCATCCACCCTCTTCTTGACCTTGGCCCTTCACATTATTTCCTCTTCCTCTGGGATTCCGCTGAACTACATCACTCACTCCTCTCCGTCAGCCTGTGTCGACTTATCCCTCCACAATCACCTCCATCTCTTTTCCTCCACTTCCCAACACCATCTTTTGGGGTCCGATACGATTTTTTTTTATGACGAGCTCTCTAACGACTGCATCTAACTCTCCCTAGAAGCCTCTTGCTATTCTCCTCGCTTAGTCCTTCCTCTCTCCAGATCTTGCCTCTCTCTCTTGCCTCCTTGCCTGTTTCTCCCAGCACTGGTGCGACCTGCCCCCTCCTTTTTATTTTTTTAAACTGTCTGGTCTCTCCCACATTCTCCACCCTTCCCCGCGAAACCCGAACCCCTTGGCACTATTTCAAAGAGAAGAAATAACCACCACGACCCCTCAAGAGACAGAGTTTCTCTGCTGGTTAAGCCGAAAAGGAACCTTCGGAGAGCTCCCAAGTTCGAAAACGACTGTTGCGAAGAAAATTCCATTCTGCAGCGATCCAGAACCTTCGACCCTTGTCTGCGAGATCTCGTCTGTGACTCGATCCCCGCCATTGGACCAAGCTCAACTGCCCCTTTGCTCGTCCGCTCCTATTTACGAACGCGGCCAATCGCTCTTTTTCCAACCGTAGTCTCCGCTCGAAAGGGATTGCAAGTCCCGTACATTCATCGTCACCATGGCGGGAAAAATGGTGCTATACAAGTTGGTGGTGTTGGGCGACGGTGGCGTAGGAAAGACTGCTCTCACCATTCAGCTATGCTTACAACATTTTGTCGAGACAGTAAGTAGGAGCCCGTGACGACGTGATGTAGTCTTCAACTCGCGCACAAGCGGTTTGCCCCTCTTCCGCTCCCCTCACCGCATTCTTGCTTGAGCTACTTCGAAGGCAGAACAAGACGGGAACCATGCAAAGAGAGATGGAAAAACGGGCTAGGACTAGTGCTGACCATCTTCTCCCCTATCAGTACGACCCAACCATTGAAGATTCGTACAGGAAGCAAGTTGTCATCGATGGCCAATCTTGTATGCTCGAAGTACTTGATACTGCTGGTCAGGAAGAATACACGGCGCTTCGGGACCAATGGATTAGAGACGGGGAAGGGTTCGTACTCGTTTACAGCATTTCCTCCCGGTCATCATTCTCTCGGATTCGGAGATTTTACAACCAAATACAGAGGGTGAAGGAGTCCGTTGCCTCCTCGCCGTCCTACCCAGGCTCGCCCATCGCCGCCGTCAGTCCCCAGGCCCCGGTGCCGATTATGCTTGTTGGAAACAAGAGCGACCGAGCGACGGAACGAGAGGTATCGACACAAGAGGGTCATGCGCTTGCACGCGAATTAGGCTGCGAGTTCGTTGAAGCGTCGGCTAAGAACTGCATCAACGTTGAAAAGGCTTTCTACGACGTTGTTCGCATCCTTCGCCGACAGCGCCTAGCTGCATCCCAGCCCTACCAACAGGCGCAAAAGGTGTCTCGGCCAACCGGCAACGGCAGTTCTGAAGTACGGCGGGAGAAGGGCAAGAAGCCTAGGTCAAGCCGCTGCGTGCTGTTATAAGCACATTTGGAGTGAAGGCTCTGCCTGGAACAGGGTTTTGCACGGTACTGCATCTGCGTGTTGATCCATATATCAATCGCTACCTGAGGATCTCGTGGTCCTGATACGCCTGGGCTGAGGTACGGACTCATTGCTCTGCTCGGGCTGTGCTCCATCTCAACCTCGCCGCCTATTTGATGACGAAAGACCTCCCCGTACCCCTTTCGGTACCTCTTTTTGTTCCTTCATCGTTTCCGACCTACTGGTTTTTCTGCCACCCCCACCCCCTCTTCTGCCCTCCCCTATCTACCCCCGTTTGTTTCCTATCCTCCCCATCTACCCGACTTCTTCTCCCTTCTCTATATGACGCCGTTATGGAAATGTGACGGCGCTTCCGCTTTGGGGAGGAGCGACAGGAAAGGCAAGGCACACGCAGAAAGTGAGCATCAGCTCACTCCGGTTCCTTTTCCCCTTTTATTTTTATTTTCATTTATCTCCAGCAATATGGATTGATGTGGTTGAAAGATGGTATCTGATGAAGCAAAGAAAATGAGGAATGAGCTAGAGAATGGGTGGAAAACACTACAGCCCAGGCATTCGAGCTTCGATACTGGTATGCGAAGCTATCAAGTTGAGTTGTGCCGAATTGGCGAATGGCGTACAAGTTAAAGGAGGCATATTCTGGGGCGCAGGCTTTTCGAACTTTTTTGTCCTTATTTTTTTACCCCAACTCTTGCTTCTTCGAAGTATTTGGCTTCCCGCTAGCTCTCTCCCTCAAAGGTCTTGCAGCATCGCCGGAATGAAAAATTTCTCATTCTCTCCTTGTTTTATCTTGAATCCTCAGTCAAGGTCCCCTTTTCTCGGTGATTTCGCACATTGGTGCCCAACAAGGTTCCGTGTGCCACTTTGGCAATGGCGGTGATGTTTAGACTGGGGAATGATCGACCAATGTGTCGGGTCCACCCATGTCAATCGTGAAGAAGCCGAGCTTGTGCCATTGGGTACATTCAGCCCACTTTTGCTTGTTTGATGTCATGCCCATCAGCCGAAGCCCGCACACACTTTTCAACCGCCACGTTTGACGACGGAGAGTACACTAGGTTGCGCTGCAGAACATGTTGAAACGTAGCCCTGGGTACACGCAACACGGCGCATCTCGCTACATAGCTAATTCTTTTTCTTTTGTGAAGTAATACTACTATCAGGGCCTCGGCTACCCTCCCCTTGCGCCCCTTGAGTTGGGAGAAATAAACCAATCACAAATGCAACGACAAGAAAGCACCGAATGCGGCGAAGAGCTACATTGATGGAGCTCTAGGAGGACCCATGGAGGTTCTCGCCGAAGGAAAAGCCACTCGGCAGAAACGAGCCAGTCGGCCGCCAGGCTGTCGAGCCGGGGGTTCATATAGAGCTCCCGAAACCTCGTTGTTATTTCATTTTCCCACGTTGACTCTCGGGTACACTTCCGCATCGAGTTACTAAAGTACGCTAGGATGAAAGAAGCAGAAGGGAGAGGGGGAAGGGGTAGGGGGTCGAGGGTCGAGATCTGTGAACGATGAAGGGAAAAACGAAGAAAACGAGAAGAAAAAAAAAAAAAAAGAGAGGGAGAAAAAAAAAAAAAGAAGGGGGATAATAGGAACTTGGTTGATAGTTGAGGGGGTGAAGACGAAGCAACATGCATCCCCCTTCCCTCATTTGCTCTTGTCTCCAAGAAATGCGGGGGCGGGTTCTTCGTAGTTGGTGCTAAGTTTCATCACAACTCGAAGTATCGTGATTGAAACCGAGGGTTTGAGGCATGAGGAATGCGTCGAGCACATGCGCACATTGAAAGTTGTGCTCCAACCAATTTCCTTCGCGGAAAGACAGAGATTCCCCGGATGGGAGGAAGAGGGGGAGAAATGGGGCGTAGTGGTGTGAAGGTCCCTAGTGCCTGAATATCTTCACATGCCGGCACTGGACACTGGGCAGGAGGGAGGCTTGGGGCCATCGTTTCTCCCTCCACCCGGCGAGTTTAAGCGGCCAAGTGAGGAGAAAGGCGAGCAAGGAGGAGGGGTTCCTCGCGGAAGAGCCGCATAACGATTGAAGCTGCGGCTTCCTGTTTAATCGCCTCGGCGACACTTGCGTTTTGAAGTGTCGTGGATGGTCAAGACGCGATATTGGGGCAGCTTCACTACATGTGCATTTCGAACTGAACAGTATATTTTTAGAGCATTAAGACTAAAGGCTACTGCTGGCCAGTGGGAGTTAGCTTCGAGGATGGCCGAGGATGGCCGCGGATGACCTGGGTTCGAATTTCTCTTCCCAAGGCTCCAATTGTCGACGGTACGCTTCTTGCCCAGGTTCCGGGCGGCCGGGTCACCTGCGATGGTTCGGGCTTTCATGGCTATACGATCCAGATGTAGGACTTCCGTTTGGTGCCCCGTCGGCCGGGCGTTTCCAAGAAATCTTGAGGGGACAAAGGGTAATAGGGTCGGGGAAAAGTGAAGAAAACGTAGACCCCTCTCAGATGAGATGGAGGGGAGCTCGTGGCGTATATCCGGTACTGTATACCTCTTGTTTTTGCTGTTTTTGTATCTCCGCCTCCGAATGCGAGGTCCCCGGCCATCGGGCATCGCTCAGTTCGGCCGTAGGTTAAGTGAGCCGGCGACGACCTTTGAGAGGGGGAGGGGGCGTGCAGGCGTTTCCCTTCGGAGGATTACATCGTACAATATGGATGATCCCCACATCGGCTACCCCAGATACGCCGGAGCATGGCCTGGAGATCCTCTGGGAGGCTCTCGTGTCTTGATACGATCTAAAGCCTAAAGCCCGGTTAGGCGGCGACCAAGAGATGGGCGCTCTCTCCAGCGCGTATTCTCCACACTGGATGCATGCCTCGCAGATCGACTGAACGGAATATTCGTCCCAAGAGGGCGTTTGTCCGAGGGGCATCAGGAAGGAAGTCGCGACGTGAAGGCAAAGAGACGAGTGGGGGAGGGCCGTTGTCGAGGGAAGGCACCTCTAGCAGTAGTTTCTGCTTTGGCTCACGGGCTATTATCAACTGACGCGCCACTGCCGTTGATGAGGCGAGCTGGTGTCGCCGTTGCCATTGGAGAGGTGGAGCCGGGGATTGCTTGCGAGGGCTAGATTAATGGAGCATTGAGGGGACCGGACCGTAGTGGAATGACGACTACACCTACGGTAAGGAGTAAGACTGAATTATTACCAGGGAAAAACGGCTGTGGGCAAACCTGGCATAAATTCAAATCCCTTTTTCTTCTTCCCCATTCATTCAAGGGGCCTGGATACCTTTCTTTCCTTTGGGGTTATCTTTTTTATTTTTTTATTATTATTATTGTTATTATACGTAAGTTGAACCTGCCTGTTCGGGATCTACATTACTTGACATGATGATATCTGGTGTCTAAGCCGTCATTGGCCGCGGCTGCCACCATGTTCGAGGACGTATTGTTTGGCTCACGGTGCTGTAACTCGAGAGACGGAACTAGCAAACGGCTGGGGAAAGGCGCCAAGATGCCGGCAAGGGCGGGGCTCTTGCTCGACAAGAATGTTGGTTCTTCACTTCTAGAGGGGATGGACTGTGTCCGTGTTGCCGTCGAGGCTGAGGGACTATTACCAATTTCCACTCTTTTTGCTTTCGTGTTTGCGTTTAACCTAGGCCATAAGAGATCTGAATGGTGTGTATAATTAGACTATTCGCCACCAGTCGATACTTTGATCCCTTGTTAGTTAGCTCTAGGCTCCTTCAGGGTTCAACGGGATCGCTGACCGGCGTGGCTCCCACCTCTCCCTCAAGCTCTACCTCGAAATAGGTTGTACAGTGGACATGTGCGTTGCAGATAAACACAGCCTGAGGCTAGTGTCACTTTTACTCCCTTGGGGAGAAGCGGAGGAGGAGGGGGACGAGAATGAGAAATGACGGTTCCATGGACCGACCACCATTGTGGTGTTGCTTGCGGCCCATGTTGGAAATTGGAGTGGCAATGGTCTGGTGTGTGTGTCTGTGGTTCGCGCAGTATTCCGCGGGAGGGGAGGGGATCTCGCTTCTTGGAGCCACTAATAACGAAGGGTATTGGCTCGAAGATCGGGGATGGAGACGACCACCGTTTCTTTCGTCAGATTAATCGAACGACGGGCCCGGCCCCCTTGGTCCAACTCCTTTTTCCCCCACCCCTCTCATGTACCGCTCCCCCACCAACAGCGTAATCTTCGTTTACCGGCTGCAAGCAGCAAGCAGTCGCTGAGGGAATCCTGGATCCTGGGCGGCTAGTCTGTGGAAACCGTCCAACCGGCACCAAGCATGGAGTGGTTGTCTGCGTGTGCAACTCGGACTATCTGCTAGACGCGTAAGCGGGACAATAGAGAGAGGATCCGTGGGACTTCAGACAGGTCCACCGATATTACAACACTAAAAAGAAAAAAATGCCCGCGAGGCTCAACAGACTCTAGAACCCTGGCGCCACGATGGGTGGTGGGTGAATGAGAGGTAAGAGGGTGAAGAAGATTTTGCTCAAAGTGTAGGAGCTGGCTTGAAGGAGAAAAACATTTTGATTTGGACGGATATTACATGGTGTATTAAGGTTGGGCTTTACGAACTGGCTGTAGCCTTGGCCTATCTTTCTCGCGGGCTTTTCCGATGGCTTGCCCACTATGCACCCAGAAACACGACACGAGAGTCAAGAAGACAATACACCGGTGGCGGGGTAAGGCCGGAATCCCGGAAAGACAATGAAAGGCGACCGCAAGCGTGAAGGGCCACAGGCAAACATGCATTCATACTTGGCATCCACACCGAGAGAGGTAACAGAAAGAAGAGAAAAAGTCAGTGGTACGCGCGGGAAAGGCGCTGGGGAAGGGGGTCTTTCGCTGCCGTCTCCCATCCTAGCCTATTCCATTTCATGGATTGATGTGCGTTGGTGATGGTATCCAATAACTAACCCGAAGCCAGTGGTGGCTCCGCTCTTTACGAAGGGCCTCACTCAGATGATATTCTTCCTGGGGCCATAATTATGGAGCGAATC